GAGTCATTGAATATTAATATTTTAGGTAAAGTATAAGAGTTTTACATCCTCACTCGCTCACCTATTGTTTATTTATTAATTATATATTTATATCTTTATTATACAGCTAACAAAAATTATACATAATAACAAATAATTACACTAAAAATATAGCCAAAAATGGAATACATAACTTCATACATATTTACCTACAAAAAGGTTCAACATTTTACAAAAGGGAACGAACAATAAAAATTATTCAATTCATTTAGTGAAGAGATACCTAATTTGGCTGTGTTGTGTGTTGGTGTAAATGAGAGGGTAAGTACGTGAAGGTGTGTATGTGGGGTATGCTCATGATGCCGGTGATTTTGCGCTATGGATATTCTTAATACTCTTTTTAACCATATTCCGCGATAGCTTAAACAAGTCAAGGTTTAAATATTGGTCGTTGTATTTCCGGGCTGCGCGATACAAAACTGAGGTTTTTGCATAGTTAGTGCTGATGCAAGGAACATGAAACAAAGCACGATCATAATTCATGTCATTTTGAACAAGTTCATAATTTATTGGTGATACCTTTAAATTAAGTCGTTATAAATCTAAGTAAAATAACATGATTTACTCTCGTTATTATTAAACTCATTAATTTACGTTAATAGACATTTTACTGTTCACTTGCTCCTAAACTATGAAAGATCGCAATATCCGTAATACCTAATATTCAAGAGATTAGTGTTGTGCGCACACGCATGCTATTGTTAATTTAAGCTACCGTAAACTAGGCTCTATTATTCTGCTCTTACGAAAGCTTATTTCCTTTTCCTGCCTACTAGCGATCATATTCTTTGAGCATGCCTTTTTAGATGAATTATCAACAATATTGTCATTTCCCTTCACTTGAATAGTTTTTTACTTTAAAAAATGCAGTTAGCAAGGGCTAGTAAAATCATAATTTTATCAATTGCATTTGTGCATTAACAATTAATTCGATTGATTAAAGGATCCTATGTTCATCGATTGATTCAACAGTCGCATCTTATTGATTTTTGTTTCCATTTTATCCTTACATTTACGTATTTTTGCAAGATATTTTCAATGAAATGACAAAGCCCACTACATTTGTTGGATGTACCAGAGCTGGTTGTTAAAATCGCAGAGCCTTTAGCAACCTTCAGTGGTGCAGGGAATGAAAATGCGCAATTTACATATGGACATTTGGCAAAGGAAAACATCGTGAGAAAACAGACGACTAAATCTATAGTCAAAACATTATCAATGAAGCATATACAAACCAAAATATGTAAATGAATATATCGGATTATTATTATATAGAATACTAGCTACTCCCGCGAACTTCGTTTCTCCTTAATGTGATTTTAATTAGCCTACCTTTTTAGTACCTACCTACCAACATGTAACATTTTCCTATGCTACCCCGGAGACTGTTCGATTTTCCGCTATGATAACTTTTTAGGTTTTTCTGTGAATTTTTCTCTATAAACCTCTGAGTTCAAGTCATAAGTTTTAAATGAACAAATAAAAAATAGGGGTTGATCGTAGAAGGGTGAAAATTAAGGATTGTATGTATTTTTGTATATTGTATCATTAAAAAATAATAACAAAAAAAGTTGTCTAAAAATTTTTTTTTGGGATGAACACCCCTTATCACACTTAGGGGTTTGAAATATAGATAGTAGCCGATTTTTAGACTTACTGAATATGAATAAAAATTTCATAAGAATCGGGCGAGCCGTTTCGGAGGAGTATGGGAACGAACATTGTGACACGAGAATTTTATATATAGAGATATGTTCCTAGAAGACTTCTTTCTTTTCTTTGATCTATAGATTAACACATTCATGCTTTCTGCACCCAGACATCACCAGGCCACCAACATCAATCTAACTAAGCGATGTTTTGTGGTTGTGGTTGTAATATAAACGTCATTCAGATTTCACAAGCTCAATACTGACTTTGAAAGTGAAATTTGAGTCTACTCAAGTGTGGTATTGTCAATAGTATGTTAAAAATCATAAGACTCTTTGATCTATTTAAAAGATTTTGAAAGTTTGTTTGTATTTAAGTTTTATTGAATCAAAAAATAACTATGAAAAGTAAGACAGGTATTTAATGAAGACACACATGTGTGTAAAGCTAATAAGGTTTTTATTTGTGTTGTTGTATAAGTTGTGATTAAGTGATGAACACTTTTTATTTAACTCCATGCTATTTAAGTTGCGACGGAAATACTAGTAAAAATGTATTTACCACTAAGTTACAGCCTTAAAGAATACAGAATATCGGGATCTACGTATCAATCCAATCAAATAAATAAAAATTAAAATGTAGAAAATCTTTTTTTAAACATTTATAGGTTCACATTTGTCTACGTCTTACTTTGATTTAATCTTTTACGAGGTTGTTCTTAAGGTCCACTTCTTAGGGGCCAATAGTAAGTTAAATATTATGTTTCCATGGCTGAATTAGTCAAAACGTTCCACCATTACAACATTATGCGTACTGGATAGTGTACCTACTTTATAAGCGTTTGATTTTGGCCCATATCACCTCACTTCAGCAAGTTTCGGTACGTGTCGGTATAAGTTTTATGCAACACCTCAGCTCAGCCTTGCGATTCTGTAACTCACTTTTCGAACTCTCACAGCGGTTTTCGCATCGGCGGTCGCTCTCAAATCAGTCGTGAAGCAGTCATTTTATGATTTGGCATTCTGATAAAGGGTGGACTTGTAGTTTATTGTTTATCAGAATGCCAAATCATAAAATGACTGCTTCACGACTGATTTGAGAGCGACCGCCGCCGATGCGAAAACCGCTGTGAGAGTTCGAAAAGTGAGTTACAGAATCGCAAGGCAGGGCAGACATTTAGTTTCTTTCCTATAAAACATATTATAATATCAGTGTTTAGTATTTAACTGGAGATAACGTCTGAGTAGACAGTAGTAACAGGATACAATATTAACATTAATTTCATATTATTCCGTATGTAAAGAAAAAAACATGACGGTTTGACGTGAACATGTCTCTAAATTTGCTACAAAATCGGGGTATACAGATTGGCGTTGTAGTTTCGAATATATCCTCTAATCTAAAATTAATTATACCACTGGATAGCTTAATGATCATAGAATTCATTACGAGAAGCGAGAGCAGGGAAGCGCGGTGGAGTGGGAAACGCCGCCATTTTTAGGCTATTTTGCTGTTATCGAGATTTGCAATTACTATATCTTGTGACTCGGAGAAGCGTAACAATGGGAGCCACGGGCCTCCGACCCAAGAGGGCCCAATACGCATTGTAGTTGAGTAAGCTGAAAATCTCGAAGTTTATTAAAATTAAACTGAGTAGGGACGATTTTTACTGATAGGGCCCCATCAAAAAAATTGCCACGAAAGAAGATTTGCCACGGACCCCAGATAGATATAGATACGCCACTGGTAGCTATGATATACGTATAGGTCAAAATCGATTGACCGTTACATACACGTTTTCATGTAAAAAACACAGGCATTTGACATGACACAGTCACCCCCCATTTCTTTTCATAACTTAGTACCGAACTTCCGGTGACCACCTCATGGGACCAGGTAAATTTTGAAACAATTATATTATTATTATTTAATAAGGAAATAAAGAACACAAAAAAACTTCACTTTGCCTATTAAAATATTAGTTAGGAAAATGTTTATGATTAAAAAAAATTATTCACTTGTGACGTGTACCACACCGTAAACCACGCGTAGCGAGAGAAAGCCTTAAGGCTCTATTACTACGTTTATAGCTTTGCAATTATACATACTCGTTTCCGCCTACGACTTTTCCTTGTGTTTTCTTACTTTTCCCAACACTAATATCATTGATTAAGACTTAATGAATATGCTAGCTGATAATACGTTTTAAACTAACAGAAAGCTTTTAATATGTGAAATAATTACTACATTACGTTTAAAATCTCGTTTAATCAGGTTATTTGAATCGTGAAGTTTTATTAACGAATTTAGGGCGATTTATTTTGTCGACTCCATGTCACCCTGATGCCGTATACCTAGGTATAACGCCGCTTACTTTACTTTTCCTTTGTTTAATCAAAACTATATTAACATATCCACTCGACCAAAAATAGAATAAGAAACCCAGTAACTTTAACTACACTTCTGGACACATCTATTGGCCCACCTTGCATTTTCAGTTTCTTTTGGTCCTACCTAAAAATTTATAGTAGGTCAAGTAAAAATTTTTTATGCAGTTTTGAACCTGATACATTTTACCATCTTTTTCGATCGTATTGTTTTAAATTTGAATTTATTATTCATTAAAAAGAATGTCTAAAAGTACTTTGTTTAATTAATTTTAAAAGAGATAGCATTAATAATAAATCACAGACAGGAGTGTCGGATGAGAAAGACGATAGAGACACATTTTAAATTCAAGACTGTGACGCTATTAGGGAAATTAATTTAAATAAATAATAAATAAGTAAAGGATTCCCTTCCATAAATATCAATTGATATATAAATTATTTGGACCACTCGGTATTTTGTGGGAAAGGCATCTTTTTAGATGAATTCCTTGTAATTATCCTTATGGGAACGATCCCACGATGTCCATGAAGACGACTTCATTACTGTCAGAAGACCTAAGTGCCCCGCATTTTGTCGCAATTCTAGCATTCAAGGACTGGTCTTGACCAAAATGAGGTCATTCTGTTATTATTCGTATAAATTAACCCACTTCTTTATTACTTACAGTTCAGGGTCAAATTTACCCTCTATTTTTATAAATTACTCGTATTATGATGGGGCGGCTAAATTATACTTATCCTTAACTCCACAATAATGCTTAAAATGAAAATAATAATATACAATAACTATTGTAGAATGTAAATGCAATATATAAAAAATAATATAATAGCTATGGTAGAAAAAAAAAGCAATATGAACCATAATAAAATTATAATGAAATTTTTTTATAGGAGAATATTTCATTTTCATAATTATTGCAGCCCGGTGCCAACGAAACGAAAAAGAGAAAAGTCTTTTGCTATCATCGCTGAGCCACCCATCTCCAGGCCAAGCAGCCCTCGATCCTTACCTGTTGAAATAAAACCTGAGAGAGTATCGCCTTTTAAAGGTATGCGTCTAACAAAGCCTTAAAGCATCGCAGATATTAATCCAGACGTTTTAAGAACTTATTAAGACCGGTTTTTTTTTGTTTTAGGTCGAGGCTTTCGAGAAGAAACATCACGACACAATACACCAAAAACATCAGCAGCGAACTCGAGAGCTTGTTCACCTTCAAGAAGAAGAACCAAGTCCTTAACAAGAGTTGAAAAAATGGCACAAGCAGCAACAATGTTACCGCAACCCTTGCCAAGTAGGCCCCATTCTCCACGAAATTTTCTGAAAGAAAACATGGCGGAAATTAAAGAAATTAGTGAAATAAATAGAGAAAAGCATGAAGCTGAAGCAGATAAAAAAAGAAAAGAGGAGGAAATAGCTCTGTTAAAAGAAATGGGTCTTCTAGACAAAAAGGGTGAAGTCAAAAGCAGCGTTAATTCTAGGACTAATTCAAGGAGTACTTCGCCCACTAAAATTAATCTACGATCAAGATCGAATTCGCCCTCAGCTATATTACATTTTGAAAAAGTTCCAACTGGGAGTACGGAAATTTTGTCTACAGACGGCTCAAAAGCAGTTCATAGATCCAGAGTTAGGTCAGTTACAAGGTCGCAACCTGAATATAAGATAACGTCTCCCAGGAATTCTAAAATTCCTACGCGCCAAAACTCGGTCTCACCAACAAGAAGTAATACTAAAAAATATGTATCGAACAACCTTAATAGAAATCAAAAATACATGTCAAATAGTACAAGCAGCATACACGAAACTATAAGGATTGGTAGTCAAATACATGACAAAAGGGCTGTTCAAAGTACACAAAATCTAAATGTTCCGCAAAGCATAATTAAAGGTAAGCCACCTATCTCCCCCGGTAAAAGTGGACCGCCGCCTTCAAACAAATTTATAAATCCTAAACGTTTATCGCCAATTGTAGGAACGCCAAATAAAAGTCCTGTAGATGATGTAACTTCCAATTCCGGTAAAACTCCATCAAAAATTTCTACGCTACAAAAGAAGCAAACTAAAGCCACTGGCCCATCATCCGTATCAAGGCCAAATAGTAAAATGGCAAGTCAAGACTCAAATTCTGATAAACGTTTTGCAAGCAAATCTGTAAGTAAGCCATCTACAGCCAAACCAATCAATAAAACCATAAGTAATAAAACGAACATAAAACCACCTGTGCCAACTAAAACAGAACCTAAAAAACCTGTTAGTCGAACAAATAGTGTAAAAAATTTGTCAAGAGCTTCCAGTACAAAAAATCTTCATGAAAAACCACCATTAAAAAAAACTGCTAGCAAAGTAGATCTTACAGAAAAACCTAAATCAGCAAAAAAAATAGGTGGAAATATTACTGAAACAGGTAAAAAAACAGAAAAAAGTAAAAAAAATGATAAAGAAAAACAAAATAGTGGTGAGATTTCAAAAGGAGATGAAGTAACAACGCAAGACAACGAAACCCAATACGATAAAGCCAGGAATGAAAACGAGGAACTTGTTATTCTTACAAAAAAAAATGTAGTTTCTATGACAACTGCAGCTATTACCTCTCAGCCATTAGAAGTTGTTACAACGGTAACAAATCAGCTACCTGCGGCCTTAGAAAAGGCTCGGGAAAAACGTATCTTAGATCGACTTAGTTCTAAGGACTCATTAAATGGAAAAGAAGAAGAAAAGGAATCAAGCGGTTCTAAAGAAGACGTTGAACCACCTAAATTGGAAAAAATTGAAAAGGAAGAAAAACGACCACCACGACATAAAAATTCTGACAAAACTTTATTTGCCGAAGATAACATCAAATTAAAATTATTACAACCTCCATATAATAACCCTCAACTGGAACGTGTTAAGCAGAAAATTGAAGAAATATTAAAAGAACCTGAAATTTCTACTGAAAACATTTTATCAACGGGCAAAATAAAAGAAACAAAAGATAACTTCAAAAAAGCAGCAGAGACAACAAAGAGTGACACAAAGGAAACTAAAGATAATGCAGTAAACAAAGTATCTGATCTAAAAGATCAAGTACTTAAAGAAAGCGAGGAAATGACTGTAAACATTCGTTCTGAAGCAAAGGAAATTGTTGATAGTATTATAACACCTGTCGAAGAACCTCTAAAAATAGAACAACCCAAGGTTAAAGATGTTGAACCTACGGTAAAAATGGTTAACGAGAAAAGGACAGACATTAAAAGTGACGTAGAAAAGGTTACAGAAAATTTGGTAAAAGGGGAGGGCGAAGTGGAAGTTCAGAGCTCTAATTTATCATCAGGCGATAAAATAAAAATTGAAATAAAAAAATCTGATGGAGGTTCAGACAAATCTGCGCATAGTAACGGGTATGTATGAATATTATTTTAAAGAACGAATGTAATAAAATAATATAGAAACGCACTTAATTTAATTAGTAATATTATCCCTAGATGGCGTTTTTTACAGTTTCAGGTTTGTGAAATAAAAACCTTATTGATTATAACCCCACAAGATGACGCACGATATTTCGTGAGCGAAGTAATTAACCAGAACACGAATAAGTAGTACAAAGTTTTAACAGATGGAGCTAGGTATAAATTAAAGTGTTAGAATTGTTTTTGTGTATATATAATATTTTTTAAATATTAATATGAACGTAGGTCGTGTTCCAAATTACGTGTAATCCGCTTTTGCTATATTAATTTCCGTTGCGTACAAATTGACTAGGACCCCAGAAAGTACAAGTCATGGGGAAAAATGTAGATCATTAATTATAATCTCATCGACAGCATATAATCTAACACTTCAGACTCCACAATTTATTTATTACGATCTAGTTTTACTTAAACTGCTTAATCGATTTCGATAAAATCTGTATATAGTGTTATAGGATTTTGAAGCAAAAACTAGCTTTTAGTATCAATTAATGTACACAATAATAATACTATGACTTTTCAACAATACAAAACTCGCGTTAAATGATGTTTCCTCCTAAAAATAAATAACCGAATAAGTATAACACAAACTTTTAGAGATTAGCTAAAAAGAATTAATGTGACGTTTAAAAAGGAAAGTACATCTAAAATTAAACTTGCAAAAGAATTCTATAACCTTATTGTAGAGGTATTCGAACCATTAACAGTTTGTAACAATCGCCTATAACTCGTTGCGACCCTTAAGAAATTAGTACACGCTACAACCTGACCTCGGCCGCTTGCTTCAAGCGTCGCCCATAATGGCGCGAAACAGTCTTGTGATTTGACAGATGACAGATAAATTTATTATCTGCATTTCGTGAAAAGTGTTTTTGTTTTACAAAATGATCAACAATAGAACTGTTTATATTTTGCCTAATGAATTGCTGCCAAAACGATACGGAAGCGACACTGGGTAAAGCTTATTATGGTGTATCTGTACAATTTCTCCGCTTATTTATAATAACTAAATTTAAATAAATCGACTGAGTCCTTAAATTATTTCTATTGAACTTTACCAAACATTAATTATTCACACTTTTACGTTTTAAACTTCAAAATATGATTAGATACGGTTGAAATATTCATATTTACTTATTATTTTAGATTCGTGGGCCAGTCAACATTATTAAGGTAACGGTCAGAGATAAGATTGCACGTTTTACACACGTTGTTAAGACTGAAACTCCTTTATAAACAATAATATAAAAATATATACAACATGTATCTTAAAATAAAATTAAATAAAATGTATGTAAATAAGCTGTAGATTAGAAGAAACGACGAAACCTTATAGTACATAAATCATCCGTTTGGTATATTTTATTATTTTCGTTTTGTTATAAATATCATATACGCATTCCATATAAAGAACCTTAAGTAGGCTTACACACAGTAGGAACATAAGTTAGGACTTGTACTATCTCTAAACCCCTGCCAGAATAAGTCAATATTTTTGACTCAACGTTTGTAATTAAATACCCCAGCATTAACCATAATTTTTTTAGATAAAGCTAAAAACGCTGTTTATTTTTTATCCAGATTCCCTCAAAGCACTAGCACCACACCCAAACCACCAGCTAGAGCGCATAGGCAACAAAAAGAAGACAAGCAAGAAAACGAACCTGAAACGCAAACAGAAACGAAGCCAAACATATGCAGCCGCCTCATGGGCAAGTGTAAAAGTGCATGTTGTCCTTGTTGTCTTAAGGCAGCTGAGGAAGGCAAGAGTGAGATAGAAGAGGAGAGTCAGAAGAAGTTTTGGAATTCGATGAACTGTTTAAAGAAGAAAGTGCCCGATGAGGAAGTCGAACGAGCTGCAGGAAAGGTATTTAAAAGCTAAAAGTATTCATCCACACTATAGTATTTTTGTGTCTTTCTAGCAAACGTTTCGTCAATGATATTTTCTTTGTTGCAGGCAGCGACGATAGAATTCGAGTCAGAAACAAAACGAAAACGCAAACTTCGCGATGTTTTATGCGCGTGCTGCAGACGACGGAAAGTCAGTGACGTTTCCGACTCAGTTCGGCAGTTCGAGGTGTCATCACCTGTCGCTTCGACAGAAGTTGTCACCGAGACCGGATGCTGTGGAAAGAAGAGAGAGATTGAGAGAAGGGATAGCATTTTAAGTGACCAGGCGCCGTCTACGTAAGTCCTATCTCTTATTCATATAATCATGTTTTAACTAAAATATAGTTTTCTCTCTTTCTGTCAAATTTCATTCAGTCTGTTACGAAAAAGAAGTGCGTTAAAACGGGGTGTATATAGACCTAGGTACAGTTTATATGAATATGTATAATAAAGTTTTATTCTTTTTGTAGATTAAAATTCCTAAAGACTAAATCAATTTTATTACATTGAGGAAGCTAATCTAATCTGACTTGGATCTCTAGATGCTGTAACAACAGGCTATGTCGGTGGCTGCGCGGTGCTTGTCGTCGGCAGACAGAACCTACATCCAGCAGGAGAACCAGTCTCTTCTCAAAGAACAAGAGCTTGTCTCCCACTCTACCCCCTGAGGTAATTACTAAGCACTCGTTGGTAATGTTTTATGACTCATATTAAAAACATTACCGATTCATTCCATAAAATTGCTCTCTAGTAAACAACTATATTCCGAATATATGTACGCAATATACTAATTAACACAGCTACATAAAACAAACAGAAACCTTGAAACAACCTAATTTTTATAAAGCCTTATACAGTGTTAACAGTACAAGTCCTACCTCCTGAAATCTACGTTTCTTAGCTGAGTCCGGTTGCGTGACAATTCCAACCCTCACGACATTTCATACCGCCGACCGTCAATTCGACCACCTCTTGCACGCGATTTACGATATGAGCTTGTTTACCAGTATACAAAGAAATAAAGCCAAATAAATTTAAGGAAAACACATGAAATAGTAATACTCTGGTGATAAGAAAAACTAAAATAATTTCAGGAGAATTTTTTAATAGCAAATTGTCAGAACCAATTGTTTTTACTCCTTACTTCGAAATTTAATCTATCCCTGCAAACATGTGCGTAATACTGGAACAATATAATGATCACGCAATGAATACGGTGTAATTACAATCATATTATTATCTAAATGGCTTATGACTGTCTAAATATCTGACCATGATAGTGTATTACAACCTTAACGCTAAGTGCGTTATTCGCAGTATTTTTTGTAATCATTACAAAATTAGGGGTATAATTTTCCCGCTTCGTGGGAACTTTGACTATTTCTTTATTACAATAGTTTTCAACTAAGTAATTATAGGTGTGTTCAAGTACTTTAGTATTGTATTAGTTATACCTCCTTATCGCTTTGCTAAAATTCGGCCAACTTTTTTGACAAGTAATTGCTAGTAACATTCATATTATGACAAAATACATATGCACTTAATTACATAACACATAACGTGTGCGTGTAATAGGTTAAAAGTGTAATAAAAATAAACTTACAAAATTGTATATTTGTCTTGTAAACAAATTATATTGGGTTTACAATAAATTTGAGATGAAAAATGACTCGGAGATTGCCATCCATAGAGACCTTTCGCCGAGTCCTTTTAGCAACCTTGCATAGTTAGTTATTTACTAATATCATTATTTCTTTTTCTTTATTATATTCCTACTTAATTGTTTTCAAGCAACTTCTTCAATAAAAAGTCCCCTTTGGGATTTGTGTGCTGCGGTTTTGCGGAAGATTTTGAGGAAGTTGCAACTGGTTAGCGCTGCGCCTGAGTTCTTAAGTTCATATTATTTTGTGTATTATAGACGTGTGAAAATTTAACCATTTTCATAAGTGTTTTGTTGTGTCAATGTATCACACTTGTTGAAATGATGACAAACAAATATAAATAAAACAGTATGAGATCACCAAACATCTATAAAGGATTAATAACTTAAATACTAAACAATACTAATTCTAAATAACCTTGTGTAAACTTTTATAAAAAGACCAAATACCGTTCATGGTAATGGAGTAATAAATAAGCCAAAATTAGAATTCTCTTGCGTGAGATAAAATATTACGTTGTTATATTATTAAAATAATATACGAAAATTATTTATAAATTCTATTAATTTTGGTAGAAAGGTACATGGCATGAGTTTTAACTGCCATATTAATATAATCTACCAATGAGCAAGTTTCTTCTACTTCATAAATATGCATATTGCATGTTAAATATGTATATCAAAATTAAAGGAAAAAATATACTTTTCGCATATTTCTATTACTTCCTACCGTCTACTTTACCTTTTGGTCAAGAAAGGAAGAGCGTACTCATATTATAAAATATTAGATACCCGCTCCGGCTACACAGGATCCACTGTGACCCATAAACCCGGACAATTTATATACCAAAACTTGAAAACCGCAATAAAATCGTGTAGTTTGATTGCAAACTCTATAACTTTTCTTTAGAACTCAATCATCTCTTATCGTTTTTTCTTCATCCACCTTTGCAAATCCGACTACCATGAAAGAGGTTTTTCATTTTCACTCACAAATAACGTGACTTTCTGTTGATAAAGTAATTCTGCTAAACGGTTCAGTAAATTCAGAATTACCCCCTTCACAAACTTTACTTCCATTTTAATGTAGTTCTATTATATTCCTAAAGTAATTAAATCAAAGCTTATAATGGATGTTCCGCGTGGTATTACTATTGAAGAAACTTACTTAATCATGTTAGTAATTATCGATATTTTTGAATGCGTCAGTGTGTTGTTAGTTTTCACAAAAAACGCGCTTTCGTTCCGTTACATAAAGTTTTGTAAAATAATTCAAATAGGACAACATAAACTTGACATGATGTAATTAACGGTGTAATTACATAATTAACTTAAAAAATATTGAAAATATGGATTAAAAGTTAGAAAGACATATTATAAACACTAATCTATTTATAAATTTTATCTACGAAATTTTTATGCATTCTTTATTAATGTTACACAAATTTAATAATTGATATTATTATTTGGTGAAAATGTCGATGGGATCAATTATAGATAACATAAGTTCTGTGTCGTCGTCAAAATTAACAACGCCAAAAATTGTCTTCACTGATGTGAAAAGACGGAATACCATATTGTTCGATGAAGATTATGTAAGTAAAAAATTAAGTGCTTTTGATAGTATTCTTTATAAAACTTTTAAAAAAATATATCCATAATAATTAATACTGTTAATTTATTATGTGTCAAGCACGATACACACGTGACAGATCGTAGCATGTCTGTAAATAAAATGTCTTCGCCAATGTAATTTAGTAGTTTAATTCCGTTGGATATTATTATTGATCGAAATATAATATGTGTACCTATTTAATTCCAACACACAAATATGAAGTATTTACAATATTCTTAACCTACATAGTAATAATAATAATTAAAAATGGATAAATAGAAAACTAAAACGAATTTTAAAAGTTTGGTCCCTGTGTCAGTGTTCCAATAATGGTGCCAACATTTCCTCACTGTATTGCGATAATTGATGGTTGAGCGAGGAAAGCACCAGCCCTGGGGTCACCGGTACTATTTACCAGGCGCCAACTTAAATCTTTAATTAGCGCCTGTGCAACCCTACGGACCAAGAGTAGTCTCACTCCAAAGGGAACAAAATCAAAATTGGACGGAAGACTAATATGACAGATATTATGACAGCTTTTGTGCTTGTCCAAGGGAGGTGAGACGAGGTTCACGTGTCCACACAAGTAGCATCATATATGTGTATTTGAGTAACTTAAGATCACATCATTATTTAACACGTAAAAAGCTTGACATTTGTTTACATGTTTACAAACATGTTGCGTCGTCGAGATTGCGACATTGCGAGGTGTCTTGCATACAGATGGCGAGTTTAATTTTGATTATGAATGTTTAATTTGAATTTTAAAAGCCAATACTTAAAAAAAAATATAACAAATTGTGTAGGTTCTATAGTTACTAAAAATATTTTAAATGGTTTTAAATCTCATAAAGATGTTCAAAGAGACATCGAAATCGAACGCTCAGATCATGACCGTTCTAAGCAAGTTTGTTAGTCTTTAAAAAACTAAAATGTACAAATAAAGACAGATACACTGAGTCTTATTAAGGTTCCTTTATTCCCATAGGACACACGCACGAAGTTGGATGCGTCTCTAGTGGAACATACGAGTGTGATGCGAGGTGCTATACCAGTTCTGCCTGCCGCCCTTGCTTACTTCTGTCTTGTATGCAACGTTCTAGTCCCAGGCCTTGGTGAGTGCCGCATTTAATTTATTTATAAAACTAGCTGCCCCCGCGAACTTTGTTTCATCATAATATGATTTTTTGTTTAGCCTTTTTCCAATTTTTCCCATAAAAACCTTCCCCAGAGTTCAAGGAAAAAAAATATCGAATTCGTCCAGCCGTCTTCGAGTTTGCACTTAGCAACGTATTTTGCGATTCATTTTTATATAGATCGTATATTATATACAACAATTATGTTTCAGGTACATTGTTCAGTGGAATGTTTTGCCTTTGTTTTGGAATACCCCGGTTCGGGGTTCATGACGGAGCTAAACATAGAATCGGTGAGTCTTATGCGCGACTTCAGATATCATTAAAATTCTACATGTTGCCGGATTTAAACTTTACTTATTAAAATTTTACTGTGTCCGTATACAAGCCATTTTACCATTTATAGCTGTAACAATTGGTTCTAAAATGAGTTTAAATCTTTAAGGAACCATCTTGAGTACCGCTAATGTTAAAATACATTTAGGTATGATTTAATACATGATACATAATTTTTTGTATTAAAACTATAATGAAATATTTATACAGGTTCGTTCGTGATAAACCTATTGGTGTCGTGCGGTCAGCTGTTCACAGTACTATTCTGTCTTGTTGGATGGGGCTGGTCTATTTGGTGGGGAGTCATCATGGTCAAGATATCACGTTCGTACATTTTTTTAATTTAATTTATTACTATATTCTCAGCACAGAAATACTAGAAGGGATACCCTTGTCCATTAAAGGCTTATGTGGAGAACTGAGAGTGTTACCTACTTAGCTACGTATTCTAGAACTTCAACTTTCAAGACCTCTCAAAGAATTGTTTCTATATTTTGTATTGTGACACACTGTAAAGTGTTCAAGCGGCGACTGTGACTTGCAATACCTTTTAGAATACGTGATATTTTTAGGTGTTGGAGCCTGATGAATACACATTAAAAAAATTCTCATCTGCCTTTTAAACTGTGTTATTCTACGTGAACATTGAACCCATGAACCCAATGAAAATTCTTTAATTTTTATAGGAAAATATCGTAAGCTAAAGGCAGAAGAGGCTGCGGCGGAAGCGGATGCTGCGCCCCCTGTCACCGCCAACAATCATACGAGAGCTTAAGTAATAAAAATAATTGTATTCACAATAAAGGTGTTAATGTGGAATCGAATCAATTAACATTTTTTTACTTAATAATATTTAAATAACATCAATATACTTATAAGTAGCAAAGAGATTTGCACTTCTACTCACATCACTATCTTTACTACCAGCGCTATAAGACGACATATACTCTTAGCTAGAGATATTAAGAGAGAGAGATATTGAGTAATGTCTGTTACTTATTCTAAACTGTGTCTCTTTTTTACTAAAAATATAATAGTAATAACTACGAAGTATGCGAATAAATGATGCCCAAATTTAAACAGATTTTGTATTTCTTGTAAATAGTTAAATTAATCAACGAAACACATCGAATTGAAATTAATACTGTAGTCGAGGAAAAGAAGAATTTTGGCTTTGCTGGTGTTACCAGCTTTATAAAGGGGTTGCTATGTTTAAAAGCCCAAAACTACCTCTTGTTTCTGAATTTTAAAACTACGATTAATGTAAATTTATTGTAGTATAGACGTAGGTATGTAGTTCATATTTTTTAATATTGGACCGAAGAAAAATTCAGTAGTGGGTTGGTTGAAAGGGAAGGAAAGTTTTGACTTGGTATTTAAACAAATTTATTATTCAAAATATTCACTAGTTAAGTGAGAAAACCTTTTTTAAATCTGCTGGTCAGAATCATAATATTTTTATGCTTCCACACGGTTTTCCAAATAAGGAGAAAGTAGGATTAACATAAGATTTAATGCTATTTATTAAAATATATATTTCTGCAAGATGGTATTAGGAATAAATTGTGTTTGTATCCGGGCTGCTATTTGAATTTTAGGTACGAAATGAAGAGGTTATGGTTAATCTTTCCAAATTTGAATTGCCGATATTAATATTTTTATATATTACCAATGATTCGTTCAACCGCAAAGCGTTACCTATAAGTGAGCCAAGCCCATCCCAGGATGTTGACTTACCGATTCGAAATTCCAGGCTAAAAATCTCAGCTGATATATGAAAAATACGAAATAGCTAGAATTCCAAGTTTGCTTTAGACTAAAATTAACTATATTTAATTGGATATCCATAGATACAAAATTGTGTTTGTTTTTAGACTTGTTTCGTAAATCATATACTTAGAAACATTAATTCCATCAATCAAATAGCAGACTCGGGCCTTGATGATTTTCATAAATTTAAATAGATAATTCTGAAAAATAATTATCATATCATTAGTAAAGGAGCGTTCAAGTATTACGTAACGCAATTTTTGGAGATTTTGACCCCCTTCTCCCTATGTAACGCGCCGTAACGTACCCAATAGTAAAACGTTACGTGATCACCCAGTGACTTTTTTTACCTAAACGTCATAATCATGTGGTGTAAAGTACCGGAATGTCGCTAAAATAACTTTATTGTTTTAATCGCGTTAGTTAATACAATACAATAACGCGTAACTCAATACCCGCCCCTGTAAAGTTTTAGATCTACCCAAATTAGTTAAGTACGTAATTGAACGCTCCTAATTAAAAATATAATAATGAAAATTTTCATAATCTGTAATTTATATTATATTCTATGTGAGATTTGGCCCCAAATATTGTAAATATGAATTAGAAAATATAACGTATCTACACTAAAATTGAATGATAAAAATTTTCTTCATTATACTTATATAATAATGTTTAGATGTAGAAACATTAGCGCAACTTGTAATTTTATAAATGACCAAGAATAACATTTATTATAAAAAGCAATTTTATACCAATAGTAGTGTTCGTTTTAGTATTGTAATATTAAACGTTATGCTTCCATATGCTCTAGTAAAATAATATTGTTTTCTTTATAAAGAAATATTTATTATATATGTTATAACTTACAACAAATTAAGCAGTACCGTGGGCACGAACATTACTTAAATCTAATAGTTAAGGTAAAAGAATATTAACAAAACATTTACGCAGAGCTTGGGCATTGGCGCAGTATTTGGTGTTAAAGCAGTTTAATGGTTCAAATAGAATTCCTATATTAATTAAACAAATTGTATGAAAATCCGATACGTTGCCAAAACCGAAGAATACTTGACGAAACCATAGAAAAGTTCGTGCTAAGCCTTTGTACATGTGTAATCACTGGGAACGAAAGATGTTGTTATTTAATTTTGTTTGACTTAATATATTTATTTTAAGGCTATTAATTACTTTTTGAGATATTTTAGTTTTTAATACAATAATTATTTAACATAATATATAGTTATTATATACTTCATTAATGTGTATACATAATGCTTAAACAGCGAATTAAATAAAATTTTACACTTAATGTTATCTTTTATTTCTGACCCTATATATGCCTAAGAATATGCCCAAGTTTTTCATTAAATCAATTGTTTTCTTTTATGTAGGTAAATATATTTTATACCTGCAGTTTTGACGAGTCGTTCTTAACGAAATAATAATTACAAAATTAATTTTAGTATCGTAGGCAAATTAAATATTTTTATTCACACTTTTTAAATTGTTTATAGTAGCAGTCTATATTATACCGAATCGTCGACGACCTTGTCTTTTATTCCCTTATATCTAGGCTCAATCTGCATCTTTCATCGCATATATCCCGGAGTGTTCTAAAGAACTATTCACATTAATACCTGCGTCGAAATTTCATCAAAGATAGAATACAAATATCCACCCATTCCATCTTGATGTCTGGTGTTCAACGACACGCTCAAGACACTTCTTGCCGGGCACTTAATGGAGGCAGCTATCATTGCAGGTATATCCGAACCGTTAAGACTTTAGTAGGTACTAGTCTTCAAGAAAAGAGCGTACCTTAAAGACCGACAACTTGCAAACCATCTGTTGCAGGTGTCCATGGGTGGCGAGAGAGACCGAGAGTAAGAGCCCGCCTGCTCTTTTCCTCCTGTCCCAGAAAACAAAATGAAGAGTGATTTATCACCAAAGGTTGTTATTTTTCGTTGACTCAACCGTTAATTGATTACTTATAATCAGTTGCTCCATTCATACTGTCAGTTGTCTCATAATTATGTATTTCAGCAAAATAAGTATCAGACGTATTAACACTTTAAAATAGAGCACTTAAATGTTTCAAGATACAATAGCCCAGTTATTATTTGTAACGGAACACCACTATTAAACCAGATGAAAGAAAACTGATATGGATATCCAATATGTTGCTGGTTGTTATAAATCCCGTAATTCTTGAACCACAGATGAAAATGAATGAGTTTTAGACAGTTAGATAAATTAAAATCCGAGTTCGTGTTATTAAATAAAACCCAATAACAATTGTAGAATATCACTTTATTAATTACGAGTCATAGACAAATAAAACTTTTAGCGATCAGATACATTATGCAAGATTTCTATTCTACAATCTATTGACACTCAGCTGTTTAGTTTAATATCGAAAGTGTACTAATCTATTAAGTGCTCTGCCAAATATGAGCGATAAATAGAATTGCATTTATTTAAAAAATGGTGCTAATTCTAATGTACACGAAATTAATCCAATATATTTGAAAATAATGACATTCACACAGCAATGTTTTACGGATTTGACGACTGAATATTTCTGATTAGGAACTGCAAACCTAATATTAAATTGGAAGATATAAACATCGCTTTTAGTAGCCGTCATTTTATACATAATCTTATTTATTATCTTTATTTTTTATTTTTTTCATCATACATTAGAATCAGAATTTTATTGAATGATGCGGGATTACTTTAGTTAAATAAAAGGAAACATTATCGGCGTCGCTCATATTCGCATCTAGTGACACAACAATTTTTGTTCACAATTGAGATCTAATAATTTTGCGTTCATATAAAAATATACCCTTAAAGATATGCGAAATAATGCCAAAGCCGAATCACTCGTAACGCACACATTCACACATTAACTATGTACACAAGGACTCAAAATATACGCTAATTTTAACATTAGGCACAAAACATTGAATAAAAGGCGCGGTTAAATTCATATTACAAAAATCCGATACATTAAATAGATATCTCAAATGACCAATAAATTGCACGAACCATAGCTAATTTTTAAAAACAGCACCTTATATCTTACATATCTTATTTAGTTACAGATTCCAATAAGAAAACGTCAACAGAAAATTTAAATTTCGAATAGAATCAAGTGTCCAATACAATAATTACATAATCTATGTTTAATGATAAAAAAAGTAATCCTTCAATAGGGTAAGTATATTATTTGCATATCGTTATCCATAGACACACGACCAGACAATTTTTAATGCATTTAAAAATCTTTAGACGCATTGAATATTTATTTAAACTGAACCTTGTCAGCCTTAATTTAAAGTCGATTATCTTCCGATTATTTCATTTTGGATAAGTCACTTTAATAAATAATACAATGTAAATAAAAACTAACCATTTATTATACACAAAATAAATTACGTGTCGCCGATATATTAAACAATAACATTAAACTATTATCTTGGGACTCTTAAGTCTGTTTAGACATTGATATTACTGGGCCCAAGCGAGTCGAGGTAAATGTTAGCGACGTCCGATTTTGCGTCTTGTCACAATTATGTATACAATAATATAGTTTTAGCGAAATTTGATACATTCTAAGCCAAGCGTTTCTGTCAAAAAGTCCATAAGAGAGTAACTTTTAGGTCCATATTCAAAACCTCGCATCCCCGTGTTTTAAGACCTGTTATTCGACTTTTACTCTGACGCAAATGCTACGGACTAGATTGTGTAGACGCTTAAGCGATGTCGATGACGATAAGAACTTGAGAGTAGGCTCACGTGCTATCTAAGACCAAAAGTTACTCCCCTACTGTTCCCAATGTCAAACTTAATCATGTCAAAAATTATAAAATTAATTTGTTATATCGTAATAAGTGAATAAGCCTTAGGACCCACTTGTAAAATTTGCGGGAATTACCCAAAAACCTATCCGGAAAAAAGCAGGTACTTTCGTATTTACATTATACTTAATTCATGGCCTTTTCACTTACCGATTCGCCTGCGTAAACTATATCTAACACATAGCGCACCTCTGGCAAGATTTCACCATAAAGCTAAAATATTTACAAACTACAAAAATTAAATTGTACACGATATGGCATCTTGTACTTATCACGTCCTAATTAGGGTATAGACTTATTCAAAAAGTACTCGTCTATTTTTATCACACCATAAACACAATTTGATAGAAAGAGACGAAAGAGCACTTGAGTGCAATAAGACTGGTTTAGAATTTTTTACTGATATCAACGTACTAGAAGCCGCAATAACGTTTGCATGTCGTCCTTGTCACTCTTGGGATTATGTGACAATAAATACATGACAATTTTCGCCACGAGCCTTCCCCGCCAATACCATCAAAATGGCCAGGACCTAGCATAGAGCATGTGTAAAGACGAAGAACGCTTTTCATTTGTTTATTATATTTATTCTCACAGCTGATCCTACCCTTTAACCGATTACTAACGAAACGAGATCTTTGAAAATCGTATACTGTAGTATATACTTATGGTATATTATTGAATAGGGCGTTAGTAGTATCATAAACGCCATTATTTCACAATAATTGTAGTCTTCTACCTTCTGATTACAACAATACTTTTCTTAAAGTCTATACCCCACCTCGGCTCTTTGGTAAACTATGAACTAAAATTCTATCATGCTATAAAACAATTTTAGACTCAATTCATAAGAAAATAAACGCGAATATTCCACCAATTCAGTCCAATCTAGTTATGCGTAATTTTTCGTTATTTAAAGTAACTAAACGGGGCTTGAAATAATTCATAAAGAAACCAACTTAATTTAGTATAGCTGTCTCTTTCGCTAAATATACGATAAACAGAGACAGATATTCTGATATCTGGACTTGACATTGACATACAAAATCCCAGAGATATACTTACTCTAACAGTATGAGTATTAAGGCCGATAAAAAATTTTGCTACATTAAAAAATACAACACAAACAGTGCAATAATAAATATGAAATTAAATAATTCATTTTTTTTTTATTGATTTTCAGCGTCATCAAATAATTAATAATGCCTAGCAATTCGACAAAAAACTAAAAAACTTTTTTCATCTATGAATAATTTTCATACCTTGTTGTTTTTCAAAATTGAATTTCTATTTGAGTGATTGATTAATATTATTTTCAGAAATAATACGAAATAATTTTGTCGAAATAAATCTTTTTAGTTTTTATTCGAATAAGGATTTAGTCAAATTAAAATGCCATCCACGAAGACCGTTCAGTGTACAGTCAATAACTAAAGAGAGTCTTTTCAGGCCAATATTTCAATGCAACTGTAATATGTCTACTTAAAAACTAAACTTTAGTTAGAAATCAATTTAAGTTAACGAAATTATCAGGGATATGATTCGTGTATTTAAATTATATATTTAATACTTCTTACAACGGGTTGAAAGCCCGAATTAACGCCCATAAATCAATTTAGAGTTGTCGAACTTGTCAAACTTTTTGTATCAAAGCGAATTCGTGAATGGCAAATCTAAATTTACTGAAGCAAGCAATTGTTCGGTCTCCGTATTTCAACATTGCTAAGATTCCGCTGAATTTCGTCATCTTCCGCTATCCTGTAATTTGTTTGAAGTCAAATTAAGTGAATTATTTCAGGCTTCAAGTAACACGTTATTTTTTTAAAGAATGTCTGTTCTCGTCGTTACAATGTTGCGTCAAAAACTCTTTAAACACAATATGTACTCAAAAATCGAAAGTTATTAAGTAGAATCGGCTGCAATTACTTTTAAAGGAATATTTCACCACAAATGAATAACCACTTTGTGATTATATCAAACATAATTATTTTAATTAACGATAAAAATACCAAAAGAAACCTATCAGTACTTAAAAAAATGGGTTTTCTCGCGACAAGCGCAAGGGCGTCTCCTACGAGACTTGTACCTCGGGTTGGGCCGTCGCAGGGTGTCCAATCGCCTGAAGGGCAGGACGGAAGGCGGTTATTTACCCTAATCTGATTTTGACTTTTGATTGCCGCGCGGGCGGCATTTAGTTTGTCTTTAGCTATCATGATTGGATCATCCGGATCCTTTAGGACAGGACTTTTTTGTTGGGAAAGGACTAAATTTCATAATGTTTGAAGGTTGTTTTAAACAGCTGACTTGACTATGAAGTCAAAACTGACAGATATCAAATGTGATCTATTAAATTTGACCTACCATGGACAAAACACATTTAGTTTCTACTACTTTCCTCTATGTATTTTATTACTTATATGATAATATTTTGTAAACTTAATATAAAAATAATGTGGTTTGGAGTTAATTACAAATTTAATTTTTAAATATGTTTAAAAATTCATTACAAAGTAAATACTCACGCTTTTTCCTGCTCATCCATTTCTTGTACAAGCCTATCTCTCTCATTAACAGCTGATAATAAGTCCTGAAAGCATTAGAAATCATTTATTAAAAGGTATTTACTTGAATTTATTGATCTACGACATTTTCTACATTATTCTATAGACTATTTCAGATTTACGAAATAGTATTTTTTTTAAAGCTATTAAGGAGATTTTAATATGATTACAAAACAACTTCAGTCTGCTGTTAGCTGCTGTCAAGAGATACAAAAATTAATAAGAATAAATTAATAGATCTCTCTATTTCGCTATTTGTCTTCTTTGTCATATCTAATCACGGTAGTTGCCTTTATTAAAATACGTATATAAGTAAACAATTTGCTTACTTGTAAGAGGAGTATCTCTCGTCTCTTCTGCCCGGGAGTCTTTCTCCACTCTTCGACGCCGAGTGAGAGGCGCAATTCGCGAGCCAACAGCTCGCATCGACGGCTTAGGTCTTCCTCTTTTTCTCTGTAAATTGATAACATAATTTTATTTCAATTCACCCAATGGATCGCTAAACCTAAACGATAAAACTTTAACAGCTGAAATACGAAATAAAAATATCCCACAGTTAAATCAAACTTTAAATTGCTCGAGAGCCTTGGTCAGGACACTTCCAGAGATAGACATAACGTTTATTATGGTAGGGGAGCCCACGATGCTAAATGGGGATTTACTCGAGCGTCGTAGAGACCTATTGGGATGCAAAGCTTAGATAATAAGAAGAAAAAAATGTTATATGATAAATTCCTTTTCATCGGTGGGGGAAGCGGCTATAGATAGTTAAATATGTAAAAAAAAACTGTTGCATGGACATCCTCGAGCGCGTCAGATATTGATAGCATCTATGCCCTACGTATTTTTAATAATGTACGTATGTTAATCTGATCGTTTGCATGATGCGGGTGGTTGTATTTAAGGGTTGAAAATGAAAAAAAAATAATTTTATCGAGCGCGTCAGATTTTCTAAGGGAGTGTTAAGTGCACCAAAAAAAGCTCTCATTCACTAATCTGACGATTTCGATGGGACGCAAACCCACAGCCATTTTCATAATTTGCAAAAAAAATCGCAATTTTGAAATACTCAAGCCCGTCAGATTAAGATATATGTGGTTCATCTTTATGTTCTAAACGTACTGTCTCATAATCTGACGATTATCTAGAGGGATTCGCCTGATCTGACAAAAAAAATTTAGAAAAACGGTTCACCTAAAGGGCCATCCCTGCAACTTCCCGCTAATTCCATTCCTGGGCGCTTAAAATTGATATTTTGAGCTCGCTGAGTTCAAAGAAATAAATTTCTATGCATTTGAGCTCTCCCAGCTCGAAAGTCTGATAGAAGTTTCATAGAACACTATTTTTGGAATTTTCAAACCGCAATAACATTTGAATGGATCAAGCAATTTTCACGCGGTTGGCGGCATTCGACGCAGTTTTATCATCCTCATAAGTAATTTTAATTGATCGAACCACAAACTTCGGAGTAATCCCGAATAAACACTTTTTCGGGTTTCTTTCGTTCACGATATCTCTCGAACGAATCAACCGCTTTTGACCAGCTTAGTGGCGATCAACGTGGTTTTTCAAGCTCAAAGGCGGATTAGTTTTTGAAGTTGATCGATAAAGAAACCACTTTAAAAAAAAATATTTCTTAATTTTTTAAGATTTTTCAAAATTTCTCAAAATCTATCGTTTCGAATCGGTTCAAATTCACAGGAAATGTAATTTTGAGGGAAATATTTAGAACGCCGTTTAGTAGATTCCGATCGGTTTAAGGAAATGTAGGCATCACGCAGCTGCACGCATTTAACTTTATCGACGAATTTTTGTTATTTCGGCTTGCGGAAATCGTCAGATTATATATTTTTCATTATTCTTGAATTATTTCCTTCAAAATAAAAAAAAATTAGCTACGCTCGAGAATGTCGAGATGACGTTTTTTTTACAACTTTGTTGCCCTCCCCTTTTTTTCCGTCACTCTCAAATTGTCAGATTAGTGGAATATACACTTTTTAGGATGTAATTAACTCACCCTACCTTAATCTGATGCGCTCGGGAATTTCTGATGGTCAATTTTTTTTTACTAATCTGATCCTGTCTCCTTCACAGGCGGCCTTATATATGGACCTCATGTTTTGTGGAGGTACTTAACCGAGTACAAGCTATCCCCCTGTATATTAATCTGCCGCGCTTTAGTAAATCCCGAAATCCCCTCTTGGGCTCCCCTACCATTACTAACAAAACACACAAAATAACATTAGTAAAAAAAATGATATAACATTTTTTTTTCTTTTAAAGAACAAGGTACGTATTAAGTTTGTAAAGCGTGGCTCAGCATTATGCTGAGGAGCAGACTGTTCCACAGCGCTGGTCATTCTGCCAGAGAGCACAGCAGCTAGTTTGCGCCACAGTCGCAAAAAATAATAATAATAATATTAGTAAAAGTTATCAGTGTAAGTAATGAAATCTTGTGTAAAAGTATATAGTTAATAAAATAAAATTAAAAATAAGAATAAGATGGTTTTAGTGTGTCCCTACTATTTGTGGAGGTCATTGACCTCGAAAACAATTTTGGAATTAAAAAAAGTTTTAATTATCTTTACTTTTTTAGAGTACCGAGCATGATACGTTCGTACAGCCGATTTTTTTTTATGTTGTACATTTATCATAGCAGTAACAGCGCAATTCACTGGAATCTTAAGTAATTTGAAAAGTAATGGCGTTAAACGTTCTCGGATGTATAATAAAACTAGCCACATCTCAAAAGGTACTTACAGTATATTAAGTTGCATTTGCCTGCGTATTAACGCATTCTTCTTATTCACGAGATTGAACCACTGCGACATCAGCCGATCTTCCTCCTGTAACAAAGAGACAGTGAGAATATGCATACAACATTTCTACGCAGTGGAAAGAATAATATTTACTGTATAACTTTCTATTATAACTACATATTACTTAAATTGTTTTTGCGATACTTATTACGACTAATCAATACCAAAGAGATACTACTAATCAAGAATTTAAACAGATACCGGATTATTAGGCTCTCTAACACACTGTGTAATTAATTTTCTCCACTTTCTCTGAAAGCATAAATCTAGCATTATTATTTTTTTAGAAAATAAGAAATCTGTGGTAAATGATAGGGAGTTTGATTTCCCCCCCATGTAACGCGCCGTAACGTTTTTCTGTATCCAATAGTATAACGTTTCGTGACCACCCAGTGACTCTTTATACCTAAAAGTTACCATTATGTGGTGTAAAGTACTAGAAAGTCGAAAATGACAATAACGCGTAAATCAATCCCCGCCCCGCATCGTAACCTTTTTTAAGAGGCACCCTCCCCCCCCCAACTTAGTTACATAATACTTGAACGCTTCCAAAGTCGATTTCGTAAGTTTTACATTTCCTTAAATTGTATCGGGTTATTTTTTAAAATAATATCGAGTGTTATGCTATGTAAAACTATTGATTTCGCTTCGCTTATTCCTTATGAATGCTTTAATAAATAAATCTTCGTTCACTCATTCACTCACCTCAGTATTATCAGCCCGGTCCATGACCCGTCTTAATTGTTTCTCTAAAGCCGCGGCCTTTTCATCGATAGATTTCTGTTCTCGCTCTAACGCTTGCAATTCACTCGCTATATAAGTGCTGTAACTTTCTTTATTCTGTAAAAAATATGTTTTATTCGATTAATTGAAACTGAAACTGACTGATAATTTAATTTTTAATTCAAATAATTTAATTTTTTTTATAATTTGTGTTTTTGCAACTATCTTTCCTTTTTTTACATCCTTCAGTTTGTCTTAATTTTCTATTACATTATATAATTTTAAACACTGACTGACTTCAGCAGTTTTTTAAAAGTTTATGATGGGTTTAACTTTCAGTCAGAGCGTAGATTATAATTACATTTGTAAGTTAAATTCCGCATCTACTGGGTTGTGACGAGGCGACTAAATGGTCAATCCTCTATCATAATTGGAAGGGATAATTATAATAACTAAAAAAATATATAAAACAAGTTCCTTTTAAATGTTTATGACCTCTAGTCGGTTTTACTACTGCCTAGGTGACCGCTGATACCCCATTAGAGACTAATCGGACGAAATAAACTTTATTTATTCTTATGGATTTGTTCAATGTAGGTTAAAAAAACAGCTAGAACCTACAACACGCGCTAATAGATAAAGGCTTAAAAAAATTAACGGCTAGTTCCTGAAGTATCACCGCTTTGTGGAATCACCTGCCCACTGAAGTATATCCGAACCAATGCGCCTGTGTCTTACAAAGGCCGGCAACGCACTTGCGAGCCTTCCGGCAATGTGAGTGTCAATGGACGGCGGTATCACTTAACATCAGGTGAGCCTTCAGCCCGTTTGCCTCCTGTTACATAAAAAGAAGATTCTACAATTTATTTTACTATTTAAGACCAAAATCTGTTAAGCAAACCTCATTGTCCTCCATATTAGGTTCAGGAGAGAGCCTGTCTACGAGCGCACTGAACGAATGGAGCGGCGATTTCCGAGAATCATTCGGAGACTGACTTCTACTCTTCCCTTCTTTTGTTTCTTCTGAAACGAGATAATTATTACTTTCATAAACCACATCTTAAATACACTAATATAATTTTCATTTAGATATTTACCATTTCTTTCTGGGCTGGGATTGCTCTTCCTGGAGCCGGGAGTCGAAGGCGCCGATTCTCTGTTGACTAAACTTTCCAGGTGCTCCATACCACCAGCTGAAAACATACTTTGATGCAGTGTACCGTAATTTATTCGAAAGCGTTATCAAAACATTAAGGTTGTACGAGCCAAGGCTGTACATTTTGCTCACTCAGGCTTTCTTAGTTTTATAAGCGTGACGATTTCCTAAATTGTCGTAGTTACGCCCCGAGAGTATAGCCAGAAGCAGGCACTCTCTTCAACTGTTACTTTGCATGCATTCGTTTCATAGCAATTAACTAAATCATGGGAGTTACGCCCCGAGAATATATACCATTTTTTCTCTATAGATAGGTAAGGAAACATTTAGTAGAAATAATAGTTTACCCTATACAAAAGCAAAAGCTATTCCATGAAACACAAAAACATATTTGCCCATATATACACTGCCTTATTTTTTTTTTAACAGTAAGCAATATCGAAGGTTGGAAAAATCTTAAACTACAGTCCTAAGACGCTCGTTTAGCCATAAAGGGAAAAAAAAGCTAGTAATGTACTTACCAGCTAATTCTTCCAAAACAGAATGTTTACTGATGATTTCGACAGTACCGGGATTGATTCGGGAAGGTGACATTGGAGATTTCGGACTGCAAAGATGTGTTTAAATTTATTTTTAATAAATTGTCTCGGCACAAGGACATCGTTTAACATTATCTAGCCTAAGTTAAGACAAAATGTAATTTAAAACTAACCTAATTTTCAAATAAAAACAGAATTTATAAGATTCTTCATAATCTTCGAAGAATAAATTATAGAACACCAGTTGAATAATTTCAATTCTCTTTTATAAGTCTTTACATACATTTATTGATAATACTTTTAATTTAATGTACATTACCTAACAATTCCAGCTCGCGCGTCAGCTATGATCTTCCTCGCCCTCTCGCGCAACATGTTTTGTCTCTCTTCCTCAGACATACCCTAAAGTAGACCACGAAGATTAAAAATAAGTCCAAATTTAATTTGTTTTTAAAGTAACTTTTAGATGAGATCTAAATAGATATTATAAAAGCAGTTGCTTATAATAATCAACAATAACGATCACGGGCGGGTCAAATTTTTCAGTGATATTTTTGAATCTGTCTTTATAATATGAAGATTTTATCTGAGATTCTTGTTACACTAATAAAAGCATTTGTTGGTAACCGAAACATATAACATATACACGCGAAACTTAAAACAAACCAATATTTTATATTTCTTACTTAGGTTTCATGTAAAACTGTTTTCATGTTAACTTTTTTACTTACTTAAATTTAAATAATCATACCTTTTTAGGACTTTCACCATTCTTGAGTCCATTTGTTAATTCACTCTTATCCTCTTTCTCTTTCAGACTTTGTCTCTTTCGATCCTTTTCCCTCGCTTCACGCTTAGTAGCCTCTAGCAGCTGTCTAGCTTTTTCTTTTAGTTCGTCATGACGCGATAACAATTGCTGACCAATGAGAAGCAAGCATTTGGACCAATCAGCAAGCGTTATCGTATTAGCCAATCGGAGGTATCCAAGCATTATCGTCCAATCGGATTCACACACAAAATGGAAGCCATGATGATTCGGGAATGGAAAAAAATGATATGGTTTAGTCTAAATGAACGTTATTTATGTACTTTTAAGCACAGGCTAACAATGAGCTCCAAAGCAAGACTGATACACATTGTGCAAGGCAATATAAACCCTACAGACTGGTATTAAGGGCGCTATTTCAACTCACAAAATAATGCTTTTATCAGTCTTACTACAAAGAATACAACGCCCAGGAGTTTCTGATGAGCAAAATGAGAAATTATTTGACTTAACAAAACAAATTTGACTTAAAAATGTTTCTCTACATTAAATTAAACACATTAGCGACATAACTACAGGGGGAAAACCAACAAAAAAACCAAATCAAATATGCATTTTACATACCGGTGTAGGTTTGGGTAGTTCTGGGGTGGGTGGTTTCAACTTGTCGTTTGGTTGCGTTTGGAAGGCATTAAGTGGATCTGTGGCTGTCGGCTCAATTATTGGTTTCTGTTCTGGTTGCACTGTAATCAATTAATACTCCTTATTAAACAAAATTGGCTAACTAGAACTGTACTTATAATTATAATCACAAATATTTTCTTAATGTAGGTATTATATGTTGATTTTGAACACTTGGATATTTTTCCTGCTACCATATTGTATGTTAATTTATTTCTTAATTTTTAACTGTACACACCAGAGATGGTATTTAATTTTAGTAACGTATTTTGTATTTTTGAACCGACTTTAAAAAAGGATATTTCTTAATTTTTGGGTGCTCGCGAAAAACTTTATTTCGCGCTTTGATAAAGCGATTTTAGTGAGTACCTGATGATGGCATCCCAGAGAAATCGAGGAAAACCTTCTGTTTAAAATCAAAAATTATGAAATTGTTCCTTTGAAAGTTGGTTAATTTGTTAAAAATTATTCAATAACAAGACTGCCGACCACTGTTTTAGCATCTACTAACAAAAAATTATAACGCAATTTTTTGAAATCATTTACGCAGATCAGTACAAAAAATATGCCTATGTCCTTACTATGCTTTAACTCGGCGATAGCTGTTAGACAAGTACAGGATTTATTACAATACGTTTATAAAAAAAAACCGATTCGCAAAATAGATTAATACTTTCCAAATTGTTTTTATAATGGAGCCTTACGATGCGGGTCTAAAATAAAATATACAATTAGTACACTATTTTGTTTTGTTGATTAAAAGTAACCTACCAATACCATTATTGACATCTTTAGCCGGTGGGGCTTCCTCTTCATCATCAGATCCGAACGGATCTGTGAGTTCTTTGCGTGTCATCAACTTTTCCGGGCGCGGAAGAGGCTGAAAAAAATTAAATTGGCTTTAGCAGCTATATCTGTGTTTTATCGGTAAATTATAATTTGTTGAAGAAAATCAATAAAGAGTTAAAACTAAAAAACTTTATTAATAAACACAGATGAAAAGTAGGTTTAAAAAATAAAGCTATCTTTTTCCTTACTAAGAAATAAAGGAGGATAGGTATAGTTTTAAACTCAAAATAAATTTTCTCCCGAGTTTAGAGTTCGAGAATTAGGCTAAATAGGTCTCTTACTCTCTCTCTTACATATATATATAGATACTAGCAGACCGGCCAAGCGTTGCTGTGGCTAAGGTTTTAGTTATAATACATAGTAGTCACCTATTCAAGGGAACCGGTAGGAGAACACCAGTCATGGGGACCACCATGCTTTTTTGGTGGTTATGCCATTAAATTGTAGCTTATGTGAAACGTTGGTACTTTCAACACAGCGCCATCTGTTAGAATTGTGACTATCAAATCATAAACCAATAATTTGCAATAAAGTAATTGAGATGTAAGCTATCCTATCTTTTAAGTTGGATGAAACTACACACGGTGTGCAAATTTGATTGATATCGGTTCGGTAGTTTAGGAGTCCATAGCGGACAAACAACGTGACACGTAATTTATATATATTAAGATATATTGTATTACCTCAGTCTTGATTGGTTCATTAAACCACTTAGCCGTAGGTTTCTCCCTCAAATCCTTTGCAGGAGATAGCATTTTGCCAAGAATGTTCTTTGACTGTTGGAATATATCCTTCATATCCTTTATAGCGGGGGATTTATCCGGAGATAGGTCTAAAGATTGACGGGACTCTTGCGACTCTTGCTTACTAAAAGTTATGTTTTGTTAAATATAGTTTATATGATAATGACATATGAGGCAACAACCAATGAATCAATGTTTCGTATTTGATATACCTGACTAGTAAAATTGCAAATTTGATGCTATAGTTTCAATTTTGAAAAGTTACAATGAGTCTCAGAAGGTATTAAAACTAAAGAAAAATACATCGATGGGAAATACAGTACAACCCGAACTTTATTATGAATTTTTATTTTATTCTTTTTACAGTACCTATTATTGAAATTTATTCTATTACAAATCCAAACAGTAGAAAATAATCACCTTTGACTTTTGTTAACAATGAAAAAAGAAATACTTAAACATTTTTTTTTCTAGAACAGGGGACAAACGGGCAGGAGGCTCAACTGTTGTTAAGTGATACCGCCGCCCATGGACACTCACAATGCCAGAGGGCGCGCGAGTGTGTTGCCGGCCTTTTAAGAATTGGTACGCTCTTTTCTTGAAGGACCCTAATTCGAATTGGTTCGGAAATAAAAACATAACACTTACAGTACTGGCGGCCTATCCATAACATTCCTAGATCTTCTGGTGCTGACTTCCCGAGAGAACAACTCTGGTGGAAGACTGTCATCTGTGTCATGTCTGCCCACCAGGTACGAGGATTCTGTCTCATCGTTACCTGGCGATATAATGAACATAAGACACAACAGTTACATTTTGAGTACATTGTACATAAGTGTTCTTTGAGAATGTTTTGTCTCATTCATGTATTTGCAAAATCACACAAGAGAGAAAGGGATAGTAATGAATAGGGGCTTATTTATAGATTTTAAAACAAATCTTACCTAGTTGTTCGACTTGTAATTCGTTTCCAGTGAAGTATGCTCTCAGTTGAAATAGATATGTCATCACCTGCAATTATTGATAGATATATAAAAAATAATCTCCTTAAATCAAAATTAAATTATATCGATAAAAAAACAAAAAACTCTATTTTAATGTATATAAATTACACTATCAATATAGCTTTACACAGGGTTATATACTTAAAAGCTATTTAAATTCAACCTTAATCATAACTTTAAATCTACATAGAAAATTGTGTTCTGACGTTCTTAATGGGTTAGTATTTCTAAAGAGTTTATTTAATTTTCGAAGTAAAAATATTATACTTACAGCAAGTTTATCAGGTACCGGTCCTCCACAGACATCAGCGACAGTCAGAACTTGTGAAATTCCAAGTTTAACGCTCGCTTCGAGAGCACGACGAACATTTTCTTCGCTTTCATCAGGTTGCAGCCCAGAATAGTCACTAAAATATTTTCACCTTTTTATTGCTTTATAAATTCTCCCCAGAATTACGAAGGCTTGTCTCAAAATTGCCACAGTGCACAAGTATTTAGGGTAAGTATGCGTAGAGAAAAAACTCTACCACTAAGAAACTATCTATTCCAAAACTTTACTCAAACGGAAGAATGTCCGATACTACTAAAGTATCAAAAGAGCGGACGCACAATTGAGAATTAACGTGCACCCGAGACAGGGTTTTTTTTTTTTAATATTATGTTTGGGCTTAAGAATTTTCTATTTGTAGATGTTTTAAGCTATAATATGAATAGATAATTAATATTTTTATACACAATTGTTAAAAAAAATTTTACACCTTTATACAACTAAATTTTGTGGTTGTTTGTTTAAATTTTTTCCCTTGATAGATTGCTTATGTACTAATGTAATTGATCTGTATGTGTGTTAAATTTGTGATGTCATATTTCCTTGTATTATTGAGGCATACACATTGTTTTACAATGTATTAACAAAAGGGTGCGTGTACTTATGTACGCGCGTAAGAAGTTATACTTCTTTGGCATTATTAAAAATAGTTTTTGATTGCATGCAAATAATTAATTACAATTAAATAATCAAAGACTGGAAAAGGAGTCATTATAGTCAATAAAGTTCAGTTTACATTTGAAAAAATAAATAAATATTTATTATTATTCTCTTACATTAAGTGTAACATAAATTCTATTATTATTCGAATGTTGTTTTTAAATTATGTCCAAGGCCGTAGCATCTTTCGTGGGCAACTTCATTCTGTTAATTTTGTGTCACGGTGCGCGCGCATCGTAAAATTTCACTCTCATCAATTTTTCATAACGCGCCTAAAGAAGTATAACTTCAAAAATATATAAATTCAAATAAAGGCACTCGTTTAATGTACTTTTTCCTCTCTGACAAATTGCAAACACTAGGATGAAAAAAGAGGGGTAATGAAGTTAAACTTATATTAGACAGTAATATCGCATAGTATTGTCTTTTAGTAACAACTTTTACAAATAAAAAAAAAATCGACGTTTCGCGTGCTTTATAGCGTGCGTAAGAATTATGTAAAATAATTATAAGTTTATAATAATACATAACTTCAATCCGGTAAAAAAGTGTTTTCAGTAATATCACTTTGTGCCGATGTATACTATACTCACATAAGGTCCGGCCTAAAATGATGTATGATGGCGCAGAAAGTGAGCCCCGATCTGAAGCTGGTAGTGAGGTCAGTGACTGGACATCTTGGATACTCTCGTGTTATGTATTGACACCATTCGACCAAGTCCACCATCTAGTTAACGTATTGCTGTTTTTAATTTTGTATATATAAGGGTCATTAGAATATGAGTACAATCTTAATAGCTTCACATGAGTTATGTCAAATTCAATACAAAAACGCGCAAAGTCCTTGCTGCTAATAAGAAAAATTATGTCATAGAAACTCCTTTGTGATGCAAACAACATTAAATTGACCTTGTACCTGTATCATAATGAATTCTGTTTGAGCAATGTTATATTGGAATTTTATAAAATTTCGACATTCTGTAATAGAAAAATTGTGTCATTCGTAATTATATAGAAGAAATATATATTTGGGTGACATTCCACCCTACACCTATAATAAACAATGCGATTTTCATTAATTTGAGTTACAGATATACAAAGAACTCACCGGTGTCTTATCCTTCTCCACATGCGGAACGGTCAGTCTTTCTTCGGGCACCGGTGTCTTTTCGTCTTGTCTTTCGTTGTCATTAGTATCCAAACTAATGTTGTTTAAGTTAGACTTCAATTCCAGGGGTTTCAAATTACGTTTAGCAACCGTTTTCGGTTTGAAAACTAGACCTGTAACTGTTAAACATAAGTACCTATTACTTAAACTAAAAAGACTGTTCTGTGACTGTGTTTTATTAACTATAATATGGCCAGGTTCTCAGTCCAAATTACTATCCGTTATTAGTACGATTTGTAAATTGATTTATAAAATCTAAAACTATACTAGTCTAATTATGGCCCTGGTGTTAATAAAAATCTTTTTAAATATTATAACATATAACTATTGCAAATAATTAAGTAAAGTCTAGACAAGATCTAGACAGCATTTCATATAGTATCTTTACATGGTAATTAAATTGAATCCCCGTAAAAATAGATTTAAGCTAAAAAATACCTTTTAAATTATCTAACTTCTCCTCACTAGGAGCTACCACAGGTTTCGGAGTGGAACTGAACTTGGGTTCAGCTCTCATAGCCTTCGTCAGACTGCTCAAATATTCCGGTCTATTTTTGGGTGTCACCGCGTCTTCGCCAAATGCCTCCACAGCGTTAACTGGTGTTGTAGGGCTCTGTGCTGTTGGGGTCTTGTCAAAATTGAGACTTTGCACACTATTAGGGGTCGCCGCTATGTCCGAATTTGTTAGACTCTGTGTCATTTCTTCCATTTGTTGACGGAGATCCAGCATCTGAAAGTCATACATTAACGTTTATTTTTATATCGGAATCGTATTGAATTGTATTTCTCTTTCTTCTTTATTAATTAGTACCAGGATTTCTTACTTTACATTTTCAAATCATATTGTAACGAATTATAGAGTAAAATACCGACAAAATAATGAGTAAAATGTCACTCCTAGTGTCGAAAATACTATGTACAATACTACAATGTTTAACTTTTATACAATTAGAGTTATTTAGAAATCAAGCAGTGAGGGCCTAGTGGCTTCAGCATGCGACGACAGAGGTCGTTGGTTCGATCTTTTGGTTGGCAGTGCAACAATGGCTTTTCTATATATGCAAGACTCGCTCTACAGTGAGAGACAACATCGTGAGGAAACCGGCATAACTCAAATCCAAAATCCGACGTGATGAGTCAGACAGAAGGCTGATCACCTTCTAGTCTATGGAATTAATGACCAAAATCCATATAGAGTTGTAGCGACACCGGATTATTATCATTTATTTCAAAATAAATCCTGAGCAGCGATAAAGATCAATTATCTTTTTGTGTCGCGCTTAGTTTAACGAACTGTGAAAACGGTCAAATACTTTTATTATTAACAGAACATTCAGAATAATAACATTCGCTTTATGTCGACACACTTACTTGTCTAGTAGAGCTATCAGACAACGTGTAATCATCTTCATCCAGATCCTCTAACACTGCGATATCAGAGTTATTATTGACAGAAAGTAGAGAGGCAAGAGATTGCATGTCCTCGTCACTAAAACAATAGGTACATATTTTAAAATGAAACCTTACCTTTTTACTGATCGACTCTATGTTCTATGTTCTATTTAATTTCGAAAAAAAATTACAATAAGGCAAACTTGTCTGTCTGTGTATGTCTCATCCTTGACATAATATTTTTAAAGAACAGTATTGGTTTAGTAGCTTCCACGTGCGACTCTTATCCCTGAAGTCTTAGGTTCGAACCCCGGTTTTGTACTAGGTAATGGAATTTCTATCTATGCGCGCTTTCAATACTAGCTCTTGCGATGAAGAAAAACATCGAGAGGAAAATGCCTTATACCTATAAAGTCGATGGCATGTGTCAGGCACATAAGGCTGTTCTCCTACTTGCCTATTAAGAAAACAAATGATCACGAAAGAGGTCCAGAAATCTTAGGCCCAGACCTATAAGTTTGTAGCGCCTGTTTTTATATAAAGCGTATATTATATACTCACGTGGCCTGTCCCTCTCTAAGCAGAACACAGTGTAGAGTTAAGTGTAGTCTGGCGCTTTTAAGCTTCTTCGTGAGCGGCTCTAGGGTAAATTTAAGCGGCTTCTGCGCAGGGGCAAGTGACGCATGTTTGCGCAAGTTCACTGCGCAAGATGCCAGACGTCGCCGCTTGCCGGTTACAGAAACCTACACAATAGTCAAAATTAAAAAACAAACGACGAATATTTAAATAATCCTAATCCTTGGGATTGGTTTACTCCAGTTCAAACAATTTGTACAACTCAAAACTTGGCGATTAAAAAGAGTTTCTTGCCAGTTCTTCTTGCCCGCTCTACGCCCTTGACTTGCGAACTGGTAGTAAATGTAAATTTAGAATCAATTTAACATTTTTTCTGTTGACGTTCATAAGTGTACTTGTTTACCTATATTAATAAAGTTTTGAGTTTGAAACATTTTAAATTAAGATTTTAATCAATGAGTTTAGATACTTTTTGCATAAGTATTGGTACATTAAGTACTTTTAATTCGAAAAAAAATCATAAAACGACTTGTACTCATTGTTTAAATTCATTGACACTATCTACGCGTTTGGCAAGAAATAGTATTTTAGTGTAGTGGGGGAATAATCGCGAATGTACTTTTAATATGAAAGACCAAACAAGGGCTTCTACGCGCCTCAGTACTCTTGCCAATGTATGTGCCAGGAACTAAATAACACAACCAATATAACTTACATCTTCAAGAACAAACGTCCAATCCTTGTCCTCGAGCTCATTAGTCCGTGAATCTCTGAACAAAGTCACCGCTACCGTGTGATTCTCGACTCCAAATATCACTGAACCTCTGTAAATATTATAAAATTTTATGATTTTTTTCATAAAAAAAATCGAATTCTAAGCTTTCTTATATACACGACTTTAAGTAATCAGCGCCCTTATTCTGTAACTTTCAATAGCAATTGTGATCGTTTTTGTATCCAACATCTGTAGCGCTAATAATCGCCACCTTGAGCTCGCCAACTATTGGAGGTTACAGAGTTAAGACTCAGGTCTAAATTAGGAACATATTATGGATAAAAAGAAGTCGAATAAACTGTAGAAAATGTCTACAAATGTACATTTGTTATTAGTCGAACTATATACTAACTTTAAAGGGTCCTTAAGCGAAGGCTCCCATTCTAATGGGTCGGTGACGACACGACGGGATCTTCGCGTCCATACAATGCTCAACTTATTCGGTTTCCTGGAGAATTATCAAATTATTAGATCTTGCAATAGTGCAGTTTTTTTAAAGGCCCTTACAACTCCAATCAATTATTGTGACATCACTAATCGAACCCAATAAATCTTCCTGTGTATTATCATAATGAGCAGTGTTGACCTAGTGGCTTCAGCGTGCGTTTCTCATCCCTAAGGTCATATTCCAACTACTTACGTGTGTGCACCAATGGACATTCTGTCTATGTACACACTCGTAGACATATCGTGTAGGCAAATGCCTATAAGAAAAACTTATCACGAAACAGATACAGGCCCACACCTAAAGGGTCTGGTCCATAGGACACGTACTCTCAAAATATTATAAGCCCTGGCATATAATATTTTGAGAGTACGTCCATGCAAGAGACAAAATCCTTAAGCAATCCTCTGTACTAGATACTAGATAATCACTTTTAATTTTAAAGTTAGAATAGCAAATAATTCAACTGATATAAACAATTCATATTGTAGAAGACAATCTAGCTAATAGTAACAACATTACATAAATGTAATATTACGTCTTATAAATGCACCTATCAGGTACGGAGTTAATGTCACGGATCATTTTCTTTTGAAATACGACCGTATTCATATCACCTCTGCCGTGAATTACAAAGTTGCTTGCGTTTTTCCAACATTATTATTATAATTTCATACAGCGATCAAGTAAACTTCACAGTTAGTGCGAGATTTATTTAGTGTTAACGAAATCAAAGAATTTAATAAGGATGGATCTACGGACAAATGTTGTTGTAAATCAATGTCACTTGATTACTACCAATTTATTTCATACATACGCAGAATGTATGAAATTGTATTGTTTAATCACGGAGTGTACTTGCACTACCTAATACGTACATCATTATTTAACTTAATTTAAGTTCCGTTGAAATTAAAACCTGTCATTTCTGTGAGGAACAATCAGTAGGACATGATTACTTATAATATTAATATTAGGATACTAAAGCGGACAAGAAAAAATCAAAATATTATTTTTTTGTTTTATAACCTTACATACAAATTAGATTCGTAAACTTGTCGTAAACATATTGTAACGTATACGTTATAGTTTCGTTGAAATGTTTGTTACTCACCAAAGTAGGACAGTGGTGTTAATTGGTAACTAAAATATAATATGAATATATTCACAAATAAGTCGATTTCTGTCAAAAATTGTATTAAACGAAAAAATCTTAAACAGGTATAAAAGTAGTTCACGTAGGTTTTACTTTGTATTGTATAAATTACATTGGATAAAGAACACCATATTATTAATTCTGATTTAGAAGTGTGAATATAATGGTGTTTAATGCTTGTTAATTTAATGTATTTGCGGGAGCAGCTTTGGCCTAGTGACTTGGTTGGATGGAGGGCTGTGCTTCAATGGACTTTCTATGTGCGCATCTAACATTTGCTCGTACAGTAAGGAAACCATCGTGAGGCAAACGGTATGTAAATCAAATCCAAAAATCGACAACATGTGTCAGGAGGAAGGCTGATCTTGTCTATGAAATAGAAATAATCAAAGAAACAGATGCGGACGAATGGGGCCAATACCCTTTCAGAGTTGTAAAGCCACTGGATTATTAAAATTAAATGCCTGTTCTGCATAATTAATTGATTACACTTACCATTTTGGAGTGAGATCAAGCTCTATCTGATGATAGGATGCGGTATATTGAAACTTAGCGGCCCGCTTATTCACGCGTTGGAGGCGCTTCCAGACGGATGCCATGTTTATTTACACTTAAAAATATAATATCAAAATCATACCTCAAAGTATATAAAATAATTAAGAAATATAGTACTAGAAATTTCTATTAAAGATAATATGAAAACTTTTCTTAACTAAAAAAAATAGATGGTAGAGTTTGTAAGTTCGTTTGTAGTTCTCTGCAAGTACTTTTTTTTTATAGAACAAGGGGCAAACGGGCAGGAGGCTCACCTGATGGTAAGTGATACCGCCGCCCATGGACACTCTAAATGCCAGAGGGCTCGCGAGTGCGTTGCCGGCCTTTTAAGAATTGGTACGCTCTTTTCTTGAAGGACCCTAAGTCTAAACTACTAGACTAGACTGATTTTGAAAATTCTTTGTCAAAAGAAAGCTACATCCTGACAATTCATGAGGGACATAAACAGTAGGACATATTGATTAACTCTGATGTTCTCGATTCCACGCTAACAAAGTACAAGCAAAAGCAAGTTAAAAATAACTTGAAGCGTCAAATTTATAACACAAACCTTACCAATTATATTTTCTTATCTCAATATAAACCAATAATGTATACTTATTACTTATAAATATGTACGGTGTTTAACTACGAGTACTTACATAAAATATACTCGATTATCTATGGCCACACATTATCACTTCAAACCGCCGCGCTCCTGTAACGGAAGGACAAACTGATAACAACGGGTATTTATAATGGCATACATAAGTTATTAATTTTTATTTTCCTATGGTCGGGGCTCACCCGAATTCTTAAGATTGGGTTAAAACTATAATAAATTTTTGGCATAAGCAAATCAGTGATGTCTAGTGTGTGTAATGAAACCTTGTAGGTCGATTCTCTTAATTAAATAACATCACTCAAACACGCGCAGTGGCACGCTGCAATAAAGCTAAAGTTGGTAAACATCTTGTGTTTTAAGATTGCCGGAGTATCACTCCTAAAAGTTATCGCTTATAAAAGTTGAAACCGTATTACATTTTTTTTTAAAATACTATATCAAAAGTTTACGACGTAACCTCTTTGTAACCTACGATGCTACATAGGTCGTAGAGAAATAGAAATAGAATCTCCGAACAGGCACAGATATACACATTTTTCGAATTTATCTACGTACGAATAATTTAATGAAATTATATTTATAACCATGACTCTGTTGGTGGTTAAAGATTGAACTTTACAATCATTTATCAAGGTTTAGAAAGATAAGAACGAAAAATAAAATTCAAATGAGGAAGCTTTATTGTTAAATATACTATCTAACTTATTTAAAAAAAACATCATATTTGGTTAGCAAGATATGCCGAATAAACTCCATTTAAAAAATTACCACCAAGTAATATTTATCACAAAGCTAAATTTAAGAATATTTTTGTATGATTCTTTAAAAAAAGGGTTAAAAGGTTTAAAGGTGAAATTTTACATAAACATTTTATGTAAAATTTCACCTTTAAAAACACTGCCTTATCTCAGAAGAAATAAGGAAACAAAATTTTACTGTAACACAAAACTGTGACTTGAGCTATGTTTTGGAATATCAGACACCCACAAGGCACACCACACAATCATCTCATACTACATCCTGATGATCTCACCTCACACAAATAACATTGTTCACTATCAATATGAGGTCAACTGGCTATTTGAAAAACATTTTACCAATACTAAAAACATTTAAAATTCTTTAATTTGCACTCAAATATGTATATAATATAAAGTATACCCCCTAATAAGTAAACAGGAAAAAAGATCATTACAATTGCAAATTATCTAACTGTAATATTACAAATAATATAGCAATAAGGGCTATTTTAACTAAACTTTAATATTTTGACCTCCATAAAAGTATTGCCTTATTAATCAGTTTCCTGTTTGTTATAAATGATTGGATTATATGAACATTAAATAAATATAAGTTCATTAATAGAAAAAAAAGGTAACTGTTATAACTTATAATATAGGCCCAGGAGTTATAATCCTTACATAGGAGAGTTTAAATAGAAAAGAGCATTTATATTATATATATGAATAGTATGCAGTAATTTTTTTAACCTAAATGTGTTTGAGTAATAAAAAAGTTGGTGAAAGCTATGTTTCATAAATAGTCTAAATAATTTAATTAGGCAGAAATATTACCTAGGTTTTTTCAATATATAAAGGTTACCATTATTTAATTTAATACTGGTATAAAACAGATATCTTCAAAAGCTTGCAAATTCTTCACCCAATCACTATAACATTGAAACTTAAATTGCTCATGCAAGTAATTAAATTAACTTAATGGCTTCAGTAACTGATCTTTGATGAAGAAAATAATGTTTAATTATTATAATACGCACATGATTGAGTTAATTATAGTAAGTAAACAGATGTACATCGCTGCTAAGTACTATAAAGCAATCGAATCTAAAAATAACACGACTAACGAAACCATAGGCATTCGGATAAGGTCAAAGAACTGACATTGATTTTATTTCCTGAGTGAGTTCTCCTTGGTGTCGTTTAAAGTTAACGGAGATATATATTCCTTAGAGAATCCTTTGTATAATACTAACCGAGAGCAAAAAATACGATGATATCACTATATCAATTACTCGTCCACAAGTCTTCCTAGCTGACAAAAATCGCACATCACTTTATTTATTCACTTTTTAATATCACATTCGACAACGATCACAATTTTCAATAGGGTGATTATATTATTTTATGTAAATTTATCCAATACTGCAGTAATTTTCATTCACCAAATCAAACCATTTTGATTTTTTTTCTCTAGTTCAGACAGCTGACAGCTGTTAGACTTAAGTCGAAATTTGAACAACGCCCTGTTGTCAATTTATGTGTCTTTAAATAACCTTTATATTATATAGTCTGTGGACCTTGAATCTTGACTAAAATGCCCTACAATTTGTCAAATTTTCAAAATATGAAGTGATCTTTTGTGATTTTTATGTTGATTGTGTAATATATTTGCTATTATAATTGTTTTAATTTATAAACCAATCAACTGGAGTTGTCTTTCTTTAAATATATTGTAAACCGGCTTAGAAAATGAATTATTAGACAGAAAGAAGTAACCCAAACCTTGAATTGGTTATTATGGTATATTAACACTGTTATTAAGCAAAGAAACAGTTGTAATTATGTCTAGAATATTAAATCATCGAATGAGGTATGTTTAAATGTCATTGCTCTTTATGAAAGTATTTATTATTATCAAACTTTAGGTTAATTCACTTAACCTCGCCGTTTCAGATCTAGTCTAAGAAGGCCCTCTTCATGGTCTTGTGTAGACAAACGAGCTGTCGCTTTCTCTGTATGGACTGGGCGTAGTGTACTTTTACACAAGCCACTAGACAGTTACCAGATTCCAAGACGAAGATATGGCATGCTTATTGCCCGGGCAGTTCGAGGGGTGTTAAAAATCAGATATTTATTACTAGGAGGCGCTGTTGGAGGAGGAATGACTTTAAATAAGGTAAAATTAAAATTCCTTTATTCCTTAAAAACATTTTTTTAAATAATTGTTTTGTTAATACAATTTAGCCGGGTAAAACTGATATCTTATATATATATATCTACTTTATAAACAGAATGAAAATGCAATTGACTTAATTAATAATTGGAAATAGTAATTTCTATTGAGTTATGTTAACAAGTCAGAGATACAATATATTTATTTCAGAAATATGTGGAATGGAAAGATGGACTTCCAGAAATGGGATGGTTGAATGATTTATTGCCAGATAATGAACAATGGGATAAATTCACCACAACACTCTTAGATGCTAAAGAAAAAATTGGGGATCAGTTTCAAATTGGTAAGTTCCTCTAATATATTTTTGTCTTTAACCTAAAACTAAAAGACTTTTGGAAGACTCAAGATCACTTGCTTTGGCAGTAATAGGCTTTACATGTAGTAGTGTGATAATGTTTACCACATCCTTAATTTATTGTTATACCATCTTATTACCATACTCTCATAAGCCATTGTGCTCAGTTTATATAGACAATTTTGTGATTTCTTCTTACTACGACTGTATAAATACTTTCATGAGGGGCTGCGATGGCTCAGTATCATATGTTCTTCATTCGCTCCATTATGTGATGTGTTTTTAGTCCCCCTATATACCTCTGTCTCATTGCACTTGCTCAGTTGTGGTTAAACAGTAGGTGTGCCACTGACGCTGTCGATACACTCAGATCCGAGGTTGCGAGAGGCTGGTGCAGTCAGGGCTGCAGAACTCCGGGAGTGGCTGGCACAAAGATATGAAGATGCAGTGGCTGCTGCTGCTGTTAAAAATGCTACCAGCAGTATTGGTAAGATTAATTTGTTTGATTCAGTTTGTTAATTTACTGAGGCTCACCTTTATATATATTAAAATAAATCTTTAATTTTTTAATTGAATTTATTTTTTACCTATAAAAATTTCTAATTCTAAAATCTGTTATAAATTTAACAGTGATAAAGTCTTTAATAATACATAAAGAAATTTTAATACATGTATTAAATATGTATAATATTCTTTAAAATTTCAGAACCAGCCCCTAAAATAGTCAACAATTTACAAAGTCGACCAGCACCAATGTCAGCTAAATCAAACGCCGACGAAACTGCTGCCTATGGTGTGTATATTTTTTTCTAGATATGATATTTCTCCTGTTGGTGTAATGAAATTTTAATTTAATTTTTAGTGCACAAATGTTACATTGAAAATAAAAATATATTTATAATTTAGAATTCTATCATATGAAAGGCGCTCTAAAACAAGATAATAGTATCTTTTCTTTGAACAACTTCTAGTTTTGTATATTTGCAATGTATTTAAATTGAATTGGTTTACAATGCATTGCATTATATAACACATACTTTAATTACTGATTTTTACCGCTATTCTTAAAGAGCGCCGCGTTCACGCTTTGCAAGAGGAAGTGCTATCACTACAGGCACGTTATCAGCGCGAGTTACAAAGACTGGAGCAAGAAAATAGAGAACTCAGACAACAAAATATGTTGTTGAGGCAAGGCAGACAACCATCAACTAAAAAGATGAAAGTGAGACATAGAGTTTTTTTTTTCAACGGCACCACAAATCGGTTTAGTATATATACGTATATTCTGTAAACTATATAGTAACGCTGCCGCATTTCATAACGTAAAGAGTTTTTGCTATATGGAGAAAAATTTGTATGGACAAGTAATTTAGAGAGTATGATGTTATATGTTATTTAGGCTGTATTATTAGTAAAAATATTTGATGGATCCCATTCATCTTATTGCCTAAAAGTTATAGCGATCTTATTTACATTCTCTGTTCCAGCGTTCCCTAATTGATATGTACTCATCTGTCTTGGATGAGTTGGCCGACTGGGATTCTGGTGAAGCAGGCAGATTGCCTAGAGTAGTTGTGGTAGGTGATCAGTCTGCTGGCAAGACTTCAGTTCTGGAGATGCTGGCTCAGGCCAGGATTTTTCCTAGGGGAGCTGGAGAAATGTGTACCAGGTAAATTATAAGTGTACGGGGTATTAAATGAAACATTTTATTTTATTATTTTTATTAATATTCGTTATATTAAACATTGTCAAAATATCAACTGTTTAAATTAAACCGAACCTTCTACAAATTATTAAGAAACATATATTGAAAAATATATTTATTTTGACAACAAAAATAATTTTAATTCCGTTAATTTTGAACGTCATAGTGTAGTGGAAGAGATAAAATATGTGTCTTTACAGAGCACCGGTAAAAGTAACATTGTCGGAAGGGCCTTACCACGTGGCGCAGTTCAACGACTCGTCTCGCGAATTCGATCTCAATAAGGAAGCCGATCTTGCTGATCTACGAAAGTAAGATCACTATTAACATTTAACGATTACAGTGAATAACCGAAATAATAATATTTTTAATTAAAAAAAAACAAACTCCAATTTTCAAAGGAAATTTACTTTATGTTAATGGTCTATTGTTTATAATCAGTTGTTTAATAGTAGTATAAACAACTGTCATTTAATAAGGGGTATTAAAACATGAGTGTAGTTTAGTCTTTTTCAAAATAAGATTACACAAGTGGTTTAATACCTAATTATATGCAGTTGCATACACTACTTTATTTAATCTCATGGCTATAGGTTTCCAAGTCATAAAGTCTTGGTAACATTTGTCGTACACTTTTCTTGATTTTTCTGGCAAAAGACTATTCGTCGAGTAAAATTTTCATTGGTGTCGTCGGTGTTGCTTGACACTTTTGCTACTAAAGTTTTATCCAACAAAATATTACTTAAATTTATTTATATTTCCACAGAGAAGTTGAGCTGCGTATGCGCAATAGCGTTCGTGGTGGTCGTACAGTGTCCAACCAACAGATCGCCATGTCTGTGAAGGGACCTGGTATACCCCGTATGGTGTTGGTTGATTTACCCGGAGTTATATCTGTAAGTATAAAACAAAAAATATATATTTATTATACAGAAGTGAAATCAAAATTGGAGCCATTTTATTATGATTATTTTTATATATTTAACCGTAAAATTTCAGACTCAAACGGTGGATATGGCATCTGATACCCGAGAGGCGATCAAAGAAATGACCAAGCAGTACATGGACAATCCTAATGCTATTATACTCTGTATACAGGTACTGGATTCATTCATTTTCATTCTTTTTAAGGACACCAATAATTCAAAGACTTCTCTTTATAATATGAGTACAGATTTGGAATTTAGAATGCAAATTGTCACATCATTTATATGCAACCGTAATCTCTCAAATAACTGTATCGTTTTTGGTGAATTTGAAGAATTTTTTGCAACAATTTCCAAATATAATATAAATAAATTAAAATATTATTTATTTAAATATAAAAAGAAGATTTCAATTACTTAAGAATATTGTTAAATATTTTTTTATCGCTGTTTATTAAACTTCGTGATTTTTCATTGGCTACCCCTTTTTATTTACCTAGGATGGCTCAGTTGACGCCGAACGAAGCAATGTGACCGACTTAGTATCATCCTGTGATCCGTCTGGAAAGAGGACTATCTTTGTTCTCACGAAGGTTGACCTTGCTGAAGAGAATTTGGCTAACCCCAATAGAGTGAGTTACCATTAATTAACAATACATATTTTATTCAAGATTATTATAGTGAATAAATCCGTGCCGTATAATATAAAGTTAGAATTAAATAGTGTAAAATAATTAAGTAGTTTTAATCCAGTTATAGTTTCTTTTAACAATATTAATTAACATTTGGGGGTTATGTTTTTTTTGACGCATGGCGTCCATGCGTCGGGTTGTCGCTCTCCCTAAAATATGGCGAGGGGGCCGATGGCTGGCCATGCGTCATGCTCGTGAACGGGTGCTACTCGTGATGACTGGTCATCACTTGAATTCGTGTATGCGGTGATGTTGCTTATTTCCACTATGTGTTTGCGTGTTGTTCCCACGAGAATGTAAGCGCGTGCTCCTATTATTATTTTTTTTTTTTTTTTAATGTAATAGGAGGCAAACGGGCAGGAGGCTCACCTGATGTTAAGTGATACCGCCGCCCATGGACACTCACAATGCCAGAAGGCTCGCAAGTGCGTTGCCGGCCTTTCAGGAATTGGTACGCTCTTTTCTTGAAGGACCCTAAGTCGAATTGGTTCGGAAATACTTCTGTGGGCAGCTGGTTCCACATAGTGGTGGTGCGCGGCAAAAACTGCCTTAGAAAACGCTCTGTTGTGGAACGACGGACGTCGAGGTGATACGGATGGTATTTTGTATTTTGCCTTGACGTCCGATGATGAAACTCAGCTGCAGGTATTAGACCGAACAACTCTTCTGAACACTCTCCATGGTAAATGCGGTAGAAGATGCAGAGAGATCCCACATCTCTACGCAACGCCAAGGGATCAAGCCGCACGGAAAGTGACTGGTCGTCGACGATTCGAACCGCTCTTCGTTGAATACGGTCAAGTGGAAGGAGCTGGTACTGGGGAGCTCCCGCCCAGAGGTGAGAGCAGTACTCCATATGGGGCCGAATTTGCGCTTTATAAAGTTGCAAGCGGTGGCCCGGAGTGAAGTACCGTCTCGCCTTGCTGAGCACACCAAGCTTTTTGGAGGCTAATTTAGCCTTTCCTTCCAGATGACCGCGAAACTGAACGTTATTCGATATGTCAACGCCCAGTATTCCGATGCTAGCTGAGGCTTTAAGAAGAGTGTCTTCAAAGAGGGGAGTAGCGACAAAGGGAGTTTTTTTAGCGGAAAACGCGCATACTTGTGTCTTCTTGGGGTTAAATTGGACTAGATTTAGTCTACCCCAGTCCGAGACTCCACGTAGAAGAGTTTCGACTTCAGACACAAGTTTGTTCCGGTACTCATCGACAACAGCCCGAGAAATACCTGCCCGGCCAGTGTAAAAAGTATCCCCAGTGCTGTCGTCCGCATAGCAATGAATGTTGCTAAGCTGCAACATATCATTGATATGCAGAATAAACAGGGTCGGGGATAGGACACAGCCTTGTGGGACACCAGCATTCACAGGTTTCAGGTCGGAGCATGCTCCGTCGATGACGACTTTGATGCTCCGATCAGCGAGAAAGCTGGAAATCCAGTTGCATAATTTCTCAGGGAGCCCATAGGCTGGAAGCTTCGAGAGCAGTGCTCTGTGCCACACCCGATCGAAGGCTTTCGCTATGTCCAAACTTACCGCCAGCGCCTCCCCCTTGGACTCAATTGCCTCTGCCCACCTATGTGTAAGGCCGGGTTCCCACTACGCCGGACCGGCAGATCTGCCGCGCCGGTAAATCTGCCGGAAGAGCTAGTGGCTGTACAATTTATATGAAGCTATTCACATTATCCCGGGTCCGGCATTTTTGCCGAGCCCGGCATTTCTACCGAACGTTTTGTCACTACGAATTGCCGGTAGAACGACCGGGCCCGGAGTAATGTGAACGAGTTTGTGCCGGTATCTGTCCCCCGCTCGCCCTGCTCGTGCTCCCCTCGCCCCGCCCGTGTTCCACTCACGTCATTCGGCTCGCATGTTCTGGTAAAAGTAGACGTTTAGCATGGATATTCAAGCAGAAACTTTAATTACGCTTGTCCAAGAGAGACCTGTTCTGTGGGATAAGACCGAAGACGTTTATAAAGACAAAAACTTAAAGTTAGCAGCATGGCGTGAAGTATGTTTAATACTGAAACCAAACTTCGATGAACTGGATGAAAAAGAAAGAAAACAGTACGGTGAGTTTTTAATGTTTTATTGATAAAATGTAAATGCATTGATAAATTTTATTTTATAGCTGCTGCCTGCCACGGAACGGAACCAATATCTGAAACAAAATAATTAGTAAATGATGTCCGTATAGCGTTGGCATTAGGGCCACCTCGACTCGACACATTTCGATTCATGGGTGTAGTTTCTTGTTCTTGTCTATGTTCTATATTTTGGTAACTTTCAAAATTTATACCATCTTTTTCTCTTACAAAATTATGTAAGACTGCACAAGCTTTAATTACTTGAATTGCTGTGTCTACGTTGAGATCTATAGCTCGATGGATTATTCGCCACTTATTTGCCAGAATACCAAAAGCGCACTCAACATACCTTCTTGCTCGACTTAGTCTATAGTTAAAAATCTTTTTATCAGTATTCAAATGTGTACCTCCATATGGACGTAGGAGATTAGGTGTTAAAGCAAAGCCTTCATCGCCAACAAGTATAAACGGTAATTCTTCGTGCAAGTTTTCATGAAGCGGTCTAGGCTTTGGTACATTTAAAGTACCATCATTGATCTTTTGCCAAAATGTACTATCCTTTAATATACTAGAATCGCATTCCTTGCCAAATGAGCCCACACTAATAAAAATAAATCGGTACTCTGAATCGACAACTGCCATTAATACAAAAGAATAATACTCCTTGTAATTAAAGAACATAGAACCACTCTTGGCTGGTTTCAAAATTCTGATATGTTTGCCATCTACTGCTCCAAGACAGTGAGGAAAGTTGGCTTTTCTTTCGAATCCTGAAGCGATGTCCTCCCATTCTCTCTCAGTATCAGGCAGCTTAAGGAAATCTGTCTTTAGGTTTTCCCAAATGACGTGGGTCATTTCTTTTATTAGTTTACTTATTGTCGAAACGCCTACTCTGTATGAGTAATGTATTTCTTTGAATGAACATCCTGAAGCTAAATATCTGAAAAAAAAGTATTTTTTGTTAATACATTATTACTTTATACGTCACCAAGAAACAAATTGTATTGTTTTATGATATTTTTTTATTGATTTCAGGAAAACAGGTTTCAACTAAATGGAATAATATACGAGATTCGTGGCTTAAGACAGTAAAGAAACAAAAAGATGAGTCTAAATCTGGATCTTCGACCAAAAAGACACGAAATTATTTATATCACGAGCAATTAATGTTTTTGAAAAAAGTCTCCGAACCTCGACCACCACATGAGTCAGTTTCAAAAAAAGCAAGAACCGAGACTGAAGTAGGCATGGAATCAGATTTTCGTTCACCTTTAATTAAAGATAAAAAAAAATTGATAATAAAGAGGTAAATGACAGGATGGTAAAGTTTTTGGACTCCAGAATAAACCCAGAAAAGGAAAACCATCATCTATCTTTCTTCAAAGGCATTATACCAATCTTGAACACTTTAACTATCGAAGAGACTTTAGAATTTCAAGCTAGCGTCATGACAATGTTGCAAAAAATTAAAAGTAGGAATTATGAGAGACCAAATTACGGACATTGGCGTGATTCATATAATCAGATAACCGGACCAGATCAGTATTCTGGATACTACACACATAATAGCGTCAATCAACAGCCAATACCTACGCAAGATCAACACTACCCTGGATACTCTACGCAATATAATAGTAGCAATCAACAGGCAACAACATCTATACCATCAACTTCATCTCAGACATCGAATCCGATTCCAGCTTCGCCATCAGCATCTAGTAATCGTTCCATACATTCCCAAGACTCAGATTACTTAGATTTTGAAGGGATTTAAGTTTGAGTACAAATAAATACTTAAATAATTGTTTGCATTTTTAATTCATAATGATTATCAAATACATACACCCTCCCACACACACATTATATATATTCACATTCATGAAACAAACATACATAGCAAACATTCATTCATTCATACAGTCTTAAGTAGGTACCTACGTCAAAACTATTATTACGCAATCTAGTGCATAAAATAATCTTACCTTAGACATATGGCTAATCTTTGTTCTGGGCAAATACATTCTCTGAAACTTGTATCTCGTACTCTTATGTCTAGTCGTCCCAGTAAATCGTCAAAAGTGGTTGCTGTCATTCGAAAATAATTGAAGAACTTTGATTCGTCTCTTCTAAGTTCACCCATTAATGTTTCAAATGTTCCAAGTGAAAATCTTTCCCGTAAAATAGGGTGTACCCAATGTTTTCTTTTATTTTGCCTTCTATTAAGATACCACCACAACACAACAATTTCGTCGTCCATTGTGCGCGCAGGTCCAAATTCAACTGAGGACTGTCTGAATTTCTTCCGGGATCCGATGTAATGTGAACACTCTGTCCGGTGTCCGGTTTTCGGCAGATCTGCCGGTCCGGCGTAGTGGGAACCCGGCCTAAGGTATACAAGGAGGTCACCAGCCGAGCGACCACGACGGAAGCCGTACTGAGAATCGCTAATCAGCTGGTGGCCCTCTAGATACCTCAAGAGCTGGCTGTTAATAATGGTTTCCATTATTTTGAAGAACAAGGAGGTTATAGCAATTGGGCGATAGTTGGACGGATCAGAGCGATCGCCTTTTTTAGGGATCGGATGTATCGAAGCGATCTTCCAGCACTTCGGAACAGTGCCGAGCGTGTAAAGGTACCGGAAAAGGCGCGTTAGGACCGGAGCCAACTCAGGAGCACCTTTACCATGGCTCCTCCTGATAGAGGACAAGTCTTTGTTTTTTTTTTAATTTATGTTATTATTATTAATTACTTGATATGTCATGTGGAACATGGTGTAATGGTTGCAGCTCCTTACAAACATTGTGTAAAAAAAAATGGCGATGAAAAATCTTCCGTTCAACGCCCTTGATTTGAGAACTGGCGCTAATAATCCAGTCAAAATAGACAAAAATAAGTCATAACTTAGCCAAAATTCGCATAGAGCTGAAAATTGGCAGAGACGTTAAATACATCATTATAAATGAAATGTCAAAAATCCCCTTCGATCCTACTTCTGCAAAAATTTTATTCAAGGTCAAAAGTATAAAATTAAGGTTTTTCTTTTTTCTCGAAAACAGTTAGTATTATCGTGAAAATAGATCGGACAAAAGTTGTAGATCATACAATTCTCTACAAAAATGGTTCAGTCACTTTTTCTCTTACGACTCACCATTCATGAGATATTGCGGTTTTAATCATTAGAAAATTCATATTTTACATAATATGCACTAAAATGCAGTCTGTATACGTCACCGGACGTTCAATATAAATGAAAATAAGAAACTATTCGTTTGTGTTACTTACACAATAAAACTTGTATAAATTAAATGAGGATTTTAAAATATAAGACTATACTGTCAGTCCCTAATTCCCTTCGTCGGTAACCTTGAGTAACATCTGCTAGCTACGTCATTGTTTGAGTGTGGAGGGTCGCATACCTGCCTATTTTTGAAGGAAGTAAATGAAATGACTCTGAATGAATGATGAGTTAGTTTTGAAAATTCCTGTGCAGTGAGCAGACGTGCTTATTGGTAATATTTTCAATTTTAATTTGTGCTGTTAAATAATTTAAACAAAATGTCAGAAGTTTGTTTTATTTGTGATAAACCTTTGAAAAAATTATGCATAGCCAGCAGTATGGTTTTACAAGAGGTCGCTCCACAGCAGATGCTGGCATTCAATTAATTTCCAAGATTTTAAATGCTTGGAAAAATTCTCATGAGTCCATCACGAAATCCTAATCAAGAAACTTCAACACTATGGCATTGGCGAAAAGCGCTAAATCTTGTGGAATCATACCTGAGCGATAGAATTCAAAAGGTAAATGTAAATGGAGCTATATCACAGGGATCCTCTGTTACTATGGGAGTACCGCAAGGCTCCATACTTGGTCCCTTCTTATTCCTCGTCTATATAAATGACCTGCCATTTCTTGTAAAGGAGCTTCACGAGATAGTACTGTTTGCTGATGACACTTCGCTTTTATTTAAAGTAAAACGACAAAATCGATCACTTGATAACTTAAACAGTGCCATATCCAGTGTAGTTCACTGGTTTAATACAAATAATCTTAATTTAAACGAAAAGAAGACAAAATGTGTTAAATTTGTAACTACAAATGTAAAAAGTAGTCATTCTCAAATAATAATTAAAGACGAGGAAATAGACTTTGTTGATAATGCGGTATTTTTGGGAATTACTTTAGATAGTAAACTCCAGTGGGGCCGACACATAGAAGGTCTTTCGAATAGGCTAAGTTCCGCAGCGTTCGCAGTAAAAAAGATACGCGATCTTACGGATGAGAACACAGCAAAGCTTGTTTATTTCAGGTATTTTCATAGTATTATGTCATATGGTGTTAATTTGTGGGGTAATGCAGCTGACATTAAATCGATATTTGTAGTGCAAAAGCGGGCTATAAGAGCGATCTGTGGGTTGTCCCCACGGGAGTCGGTCCGAAGCAAATTTAAGGAATTACATATTTTGACTCTGGCAAGTCGATACATTTATGAGAATATTTTGTATGTGCGGAAAAATATAGATATCTTTAAAAAGAATAGTAGCTTCCATAATTATAGTACTCGTAATAAAGACAAAATTAGCGCACCAACCAGAAGGCTGCATAAAACGAGTAATTCTTTCCAAGGCAATTGTATACGTTTTTTCAACAAAATCCCTAGTGAGATACAAGCGTTGTCAATAAATAAATTTAAATCGTACATTAAAGTAAAACTGCTGGCTAAGGCTTATTATAATATAAATGAATATTTAAACGATCCTAGTGCTTGGATATGAGTTGCTCCAGTATATATTATAGGTAACACGACTGAATCTCTCGGCTGCATTTCCAGACTCTGGGGTGATCGTCAACATCCACGACTGTTTTAATGTAAAGTGGGAACAAACCGTGATCCATGTGGTATCCAATTATTTCAGTATTATTATTATTTTCTTATGTAGCCAAGTCCACATTTCAAGGATCGTCATGCTCGCTTAAATGTCATTGCTTGTGGCGGCGTCCATGCGTCGGGTTGTCTCTCTCCCTAAAATATGGCGAGGGGGCCGATGGCTGGCCATGCGTCATACTCGTGAACGGGTGCTACTTGTGGTGACTGGTCGTACTTGAATTCGTGTATGCGGTGATGTTAATTATTTCGACTATGTGTTTGCGTGTTGTTCCCACGAGAATGTAAGTGCGTGCTCCTATTTCACCATGCCTCCTGCTGATAGGGGACAAGTCTTTGTTTTTATTTATGTTATTATTATTAATTACTTAAAATGTCATGTGGAACATGGTGTAATGGTTGCAGCTCCTTACAAACGTTGTGTAAAAAAAAACATGGCGATTAAAAAGAGTGGCGGAGAGTTTATTGCCAGTTCTTCTCTTCCGTTCTACGCCCTTGATTTGAGAACTGGTAGTAAATGTAAAATTAGAAGCATTAATATTTATTTCTTTAATGACGAATCACAAGTGTACATTGTGTTACCTACGTGAATAAATGATTTTTGAATTTGAAAGAAAGTGAAGTCGTTGTTGTTGATCGTGGAATGAAGACTTTGATTGATGCAAGTGTTGAAAGAAATGATAATTTTTTTGAATACTTAAAAGACAAGCAATCTGTGACAGTCCACGTGCAGTGTCGTAAAATGTATACTCGAAAGAGTAGTATTGTTGCAGCTAAAAGACAGCGCGAGACAGAAGAAGGTAGTACATCCACGATAAGTCCACCTCATACTAGAGCACGAGTAAGTGAGCCAGATTTCAACTTTAAAAAATGTTGTTTATTTTGCGGCGATGAAGCAAATGAAGAAGCTGAAAAGAAGAAAGCGCAGAATGTTCGTCGTAAAATTTATAACGTATCTACACTTGAATTTAAAGATTCAATTTTAAAGGTAGCTCGGACTCGTTCTGATGACGTAGCAAAAGCTGTTATTGCCCGCATTGGGTATGAATTTGACTTAGTTGCTGCTGAAGCTAAGTACCACAATAACTGTTATAATATCTTTCTGAGACCTACCACGGGATATAAAGTCGGTCGTCCCGAAGATGATTCAGTAAACTTGGCGATGGAGGAAATATTTCAGTACATTGAAAATAATGATGATTGCCAATTTTCATTACAAGAATTGAAAGATATCGGCAAAAATCCAACTATAGATAATAAAACAATTAAAAGAAGATTAAAGTTAAAGTATGGTATAAAATTATTATAACTGAGAAGAAAGGAAGCTTAACAATTATCTGTTTTATTGATAATCAGTACGATATTCTTAATAAAGCTTGGTATGAAAATAAAAAACAAAATACAAACGAAGAACGATTCAGAATATTGAAAGCTGCTGCAGCAATTATTCGAGAGGATATTCAATTCAATATCAATCTGCAAGAAGAAGAGAATGAAGACGAAGAAATAATTGTTGAAGTAGAATTAGACAATTATCTTATATAATGACATGTAGAAAAACACAACCTATTCCACTTTAATCATTAGCAATATTACTATTCTTTCAATTAATAGGATACGATCTGATCAAACTTTCTTTATTACAATAGATCGTGGAGCATACCTACTGGGGAAACCACGTTAAAAAAATGCGCCAAGTACATTACCTCATAGGTGGTGCGGAAATGTGTGCATATTATGTAGTATATGAATTTTCTAATGATTAAAACCGCGATATCTCATGAATGGTGAGTCGTAAGAGAAATTGTGACTGAACCATTTTTGTAGAGAATTGTATGATCTACAACTTTTGTCCGATCTATTTTCACGATAATACTAACTGTTTTCGAGAAAAATGGAAAAAACCTTAATTTTATACTTTTGACCTTGAATAAAAAATTTTGCAGAAGTAGGATCGAAAGGGATTTTTGACATTTCATTTATAATGATGTATTTAACGTCTCTGCCAATTTTCAGCTCTATGCGAATTTTGGCTAAGTCAAATGCCTATTTTGACTGGACTATAAATGTAAAATTAGTAGCATTAATATGTATTTCTTTACTGACGAGTCATAAGTGTACATTATGTTACCTAGGTATATGATTAAATGATTTTTTACTTTTTACTTTACTTTACTTTAAGTTTTACTATAATTATGGTTAACGATTTTACAAAAGTTCAGTTCAAGTGTGGTTCTTACGAATCTTCATTAGCAAATATTAGTTTTAATTACTAAACCTTAGACTAGGTCAAAAATTTCACTTAAAATATTTTTTAATAAATTAAACTACTGGTTAATCTAATATATGTTTTATCCCTAAACTATATAACCGACAGGGTTGGAAAGTTTGTTTAAAGTGTTTTTTTTTGTTATAATTACCAAAGTATTTTTAGGTTTTAACAATGTTATGTTCTTTTTGGTAGATTCGACGTATTTTGGAAGGAAAATTGTTCCCAATGAAGGCACTCGGATACTACGCGGTGGTGACTGGCCGAAGCAGGAAGGATGACTCCATACAGAGCATCCGCGAATACGAAGAGAGATTCTTCAGATCTTCTAAATTATTTAAGTAAGTAACAGTTATCTTAATCATTAATGTTTAATTTAAAACATAAGAGTTTATATGAAATAAAGGTTAGGAAAGTATTTGAAAAATTAACGTTCAGACTACCTTTGTAAGAAGAAACTTTGTAAAGAGACTGTTGTATCTATTTATTTATCAACTAGGACATGACAAATCACAAATACAAGATATAAAGAAAGATAAGATGTTTTAATTCTTATAAAAGTATGAGTAACACAACAACTAAAATAATAAGAAAGCAATAATAGACACGAAAATGTAAACAATTGCAATTTCCAATCAATTTGGAGTATACACACGAAACAATTAAAACAACTATTTTAAAAGGCGCTTGAAAGCACGAAATCGTATGAAAACATATCAACTTTGAAAAACTGATAGAGAATATATAGAATATTAAAATTAATGTAAATGGTTTTCGTGAAATAATCTTCGTCAATAGCTTTTTAAATTTTAACCATTTTCCATTACATCCGTGATCGTATTTATTACATACCCGATATATAAACAAATTTAAAGATTAAATAAATTTTATTTTACAATAGAGATGGAATGGTTGCGGCCGGTCAAGTGACTACCCGCAATTTGGCGTTGGGCGTGGCCGAGTGCTTCTGGAGGATGGTGAGAGACTCTGTGGAACAGCAAGCGGATGCGTTCAAAGCGATGCGATTTAATCTAGAGAGCGAATGGAAGAATACGTTCCCACGGTAAGTACATTTGTTCACGAAGTACCCACATTTGTAGAAACAATTGTTAATAGGAATTTTAATAAAAATTTTAATGATTCATTTTTCTTGCCAATTGTATCAATGATGCTTGTAAAGTTGAAATAGTTGCAATAGTTTGAATCTCTCTTAAGCGTAATTTATATTAGTTGTAATAAATAATTTGTATTCATACAACTGAGGCATATTTTCCAAATGGCATTGCATCCCTTACATATAAAAAAGTGTGTGTGTGTCAGCTACGACGCACGATTGGAGTTTACTCCTTACGAACGATAAAATGGCGATAATGTTCTGTGGCTGTCGACCATATTTTCATACTAAAGGTGGTAAGAATATATGTTTTTATAATATAAATGTTTGTAGTAGTAATAAAACGTACCTACATCATCTATGCCCAAATAGGATTTTCTTTCTGTGACCAAAGTTACCTTTATAGTAAGAGAAGAATAAGAATGAATGAACAATCTTTTTAGTTTTAATTTCACTGACCATTACTATTGACAAAACTCTATGGCACGCTAGACAATCTACTTTTATTTTTTACACCTGTCAACACTGACAATGTTGTAACGTGGCTGTCAAAACGTGAATTCAAAATAGAAAAGTCTGTGTAATGTATTCCATCTCATTCTTTTACACGTTCAATCCTACAGATATATATGTTTGTCTCTTTCTACATAACGCCTCAACTTTTCGTGTTACACTTGATTTTACTCCTCATAAAATTTCCGTACCGGGCCTTATAACTCAAATCGTTTCTTAAGGAGTAAACTCTATATGTTTGTCTCTTTCTACATAACGCCTCAACTTTTCGTGTTACACTTGATTTTACTCCTCATAAAATTTCCGTACCGGGCCTTATAACTCAAATCGTTTCTTAAGGAGTAAACTCTATATGTTTGTCTCTTTCTACATAACGCCTCAACTTTTCGTGTTACACATAACGCCTCAACTTTTCGTGTTTCTACATAACGCCTCAACTTTTTGTGTTACACTTGATTTTACTCCTCATAAAATTTCCGTACCGGGCCTTATAACTCAAATCGTTTCTTAAGGAGTAAACTCTATATGTTTGTCTCTTTCTACATAACGCCTCAACTTTTCGTGTTACACATAACGCCTCAACTTTTCGTGTTACACTTGATTTTACTCCTCATAAAATTTCCGTACCGGGCCTTATAACTCAAATCGTTTCTTAAGGAGTAAACTCTATATGTTTGTCTCTTTCTACATAACGCCTCAACTTTTCGTGTTACTACATAACGCCTCAACTTTTCGTGTTTCACATAACGCCTCAACTTTTCGTGTTACACTTGATTTTACTCCTCATAAAATTTCCGTACCGGGCCTTATAACTCAAATCGTTTCTTAAGGAGTAAACTCCAATATATTTTGTAACATAGATTTAACTTTAGTTATTATATAATATTTCATTGTTACTTGCATTTATTTTTGGTAATATATTTATAGCCTTAGTATTTTTATTCTTATTAGGGTTGTCTAAAAGAAATCGAGATAAGGCTGCCTGTTGCATCTCTAATAAGAATAACGATACGTGTTTTTATCTCTACTTTTAATGTAACGAAGTTTTAATAAATAAAAAATTAAATCTTTTGCGTTAACTCTCATAACATCATTGTTATTGTTTTCTACTATTCCTTTTTCAATAACGACTAGATCTGGTCTAGCGAACGAGCCAGACCCAACTTCACCTAATAATGAAATCGATTTTAAGCGTATAAATTCTCTTCCTTTCAGCCAACGTGAACTGGACCGTGATGAGTTGTTCGAACGTGCGCGTGCAGAATTGCTAGACAAGTCTGCAGAATTGTCAGGTGTTCCAGCCGCAGCCTGGGAAGCCCGGCTCCAAAAAGCCTTGTGGGCCGCTGCCGCGCAGAGAATATTTGCTGGGATATATCTACCAGCAGCAGCGAATGCTAGTGAAGATGTTGGTATGTTGATAACTGAAAACTAGTTAATTCTGCTTATGATGTTAGATTCTTATTTGTGATAAATTTTTAAAGTTAGCTTTTCTGTCTACTTATTCCGGAAACCGAATCCACAGGCTATAGGCAATATAAAATATAAAAATTCACTCTTGAATCAAAAGTGTCCATTTTTGAATTGACATAAAAATTTCAATGAGAGAATATTGTTTCACAGCTCTTCGTATATTAAGATTCAAAAATATGGACCAAAATACTTACATATCTGCTTAAACGCTTGTGTTTAATGATTTACAAGTAGACCATGACCCATTATTGGAAGTTTAGAAGAAAATATTTAAAAACATTTTCATGAAAAATATTATTAATCTAATAAAAAGAAATCGCAAAATATGTTGTTAAGCTTAAAACTCGAAGACGGCTAGACCAATTCGAGTGTTTTTTTATTTATTACTTGATCTTTGAGAAAGGAACTCTGGAGAGAAAAATGTCACGGAAATCCTAAATCCCAGTTTTCTTTTTCTATTATTGTAAACAAGAACAGTCTCTACGGGGTAGCATATAAAAATGTTCTTAATTCTGAGAATGTTGGAGCTACTGAAAAGGTAGGCTAAGTAAAAATTAATATTAAGGCGAAAAAAAGTTGGTGGAAGCAGCTAGTGATTAATAAATATTTCTAGATATGCATGTTCTACTTCAAGTCAAATACAAGCATCCGAAAAGTGGTGATACTTCGCAAATATGGCTTGACCCCTTTGATATTGATTTTAGTAAGAAAATAGACACACGAAGTATTTATAGATTTTTTACAATCATACTAAAACGTTACTTCAGTTTAGTAGCTGATAAATGGCGCAGTAATTAACTAGAAATAAAACAGTGGTTATCGTGTATTTTAGAATCATGTACTCTAAATATAGGTTCATAAAATGCTATTAATTATACCATTTGTGTTTGACAAGTTCTATTTTTCTCTCATAGTTTTGTAGTTAATTAACTTTGTAACAAAATTCTACAAAATGTATTTGAAACATTATTTCATATAATACTCTTAACGGTAAATTAAAAAGTATTTACCACCGTACCACTCAAAAAGGACGTAATAATTTTGACTAGTATTTTATCAGCTTGTCTAACAATTTCACGGAAACTTAATGTGGTATCGAAATAAATTAATCCTTATTCATTTAATTATCAGGTATATTCTAACTTAAAGAACACTCCCAAGTTTCATGATATCAAATACCTATGTATTTGAAATCGGTTTAATTTTTGACTTTTATTTCAAGATAAATTCAATACATCAGTGGACATTAAACTTCGGGAATGGGCGGAAAATGAACTGGCAACCCTCTCCATACAAGCTGGGCGACAGGCGTTACGCGAGGAGTTCAGTGAACTTATGTCCAAATCCTCTGATTCCGACGCTATCTATGAACCAGTGAAGAAGGCTGCTGTGGATGAAGCCTTATCTAGACATCAGTGGGAAGAAAGGGCTCAGGACGTAAGTGGGGTTTGAAACAGATTCATTTGACAGAGTTTGATTTAAGCTAAATTTATTAATTTGAAGAACAAATATGATTTGAATTTGATAATCAAATCTTCAGTAATGTTGATCTACGAATGTATAAGTTTTAAAAAAACGGCCTTAGCCATTGGATTTTCAAATTTAATGCACCATACATTAGCTAATATAAAACTTCATTTCTATGATATGTTAAGATTTCTAAATAAGTATCCCGTATGTCAATTGTAATGAATTTTTACACAGTTCACGTTAAGCCTCGTTTCTGAATCTTAGCGCGCCTTCAACTCTACATTCAACGTGCACATTCACATTCACGAGCGTGTAAACGGTACGCCCGAGCCCGTGAACGCACCTGTGAACGTGAATGCCGCGAATCGGGCAAGTGTCGGTTTTTGGAAAAGTTCAAAGAAGAATGTGCGGGCGCCCGGTGACTGATAACACGCGCGCAGGCAATCAGTCTCTCACGACGGCGTGCGTGTGAACAGCTTGAATGTCCGCCGGCCCGGGACGGGCTGCATGCCGCGCAGCCCGCCAGGCAGCCCGCGCCGGGCTGCACGGCGCGCGTGTGAACGTAGCATTACACTTAAAACCAAACCAAAATATACATCGAACTTTATCAAAAAAAAAGAAAATTGACGCTACAACCTTTTTAGGTCTGGGCCTTAGATTTATGTATCATGATCATTTGTCAATGTAATAGGCATTCCGGTGATCAGTCTCATGTGCCTGACACACGTCTCCGCCATTTGGAACTAAGGCAAGCCGGTTTCCTCGCGATGTTTGCCAATTCCAATTTGATTTTGAATTTGACGAAGAACAATATTTTGATTTCGAAAGTACATTTGGCTTTTATTTAGTTTCAAATTGAAGACAAATTGAGTATTTGTTTCATATCAAAGTGTTTTCAATTCTAGGTCCTGCGTGTACTGCAAGTAAATGCGCTTCAAGATAGGTGCGTGGCTTCGCGTGGTGAGTGGGACTCGGCTGTATCTCTTATGGAAGACGCTCTCAAGGAGCGACTTAAGTCCACCGAAGAAGACCTCAAGTCACTTGCAGGTTTGATTTTTAAATAGCCTTATTATAACCCCCTTTTTTTTTTGACTGGTGGTTAAAAAGGAATGAAAATATAATTAACAAGTAATACTTTTGTTTTTGAAAGTTAAATTAATTTGTAAAGATTATGTTTTAATACAATTATGGATACATTAATAATAATACTATTGAAAGATTGCTTCATTAACGAATTAATAAGTTAATTACGCAGAGCACGTCACTGCCACGATACACAGTTAATACACAGTTAATACATGTTTAATATTTCCGGTTATGGCGACAATTTAGTTTGAAAATTCAATATATTTTATTATAGTAATAGTGTCATTTAAAACTGGTAACACAGTATTGAGACTTGGCTTGATTTTCATCTAAAATTTTCGTTAATTGTCGATATGGTAATAATAATTTCTGGCATATTTTAGGTCCTGGTTTCCGAGAGCGCTGGCTGTATTGGCAATCGAGTAGCGAAGAACAGAACAGACGTAGTGAAGTGAAATCGGAGTTGGAGCGCCTCGGGTCTAGCAGGCCCAATCTCTCGTACGATGAAGTGGTAGCTGTGAGGGATAATTTGAGGCGGCGAGGCGTCGACACCGATAATGAGTATATACGGGAGACATGGAAACCTATTTATTTAAAGTAAGTTTTTATTACCTTTTCTCTCTTTAAAAAATAAAATAGGGGGGCCTCATAGCCTAGCGGTCTTATTAAGTGGCAGCTAGGTGAGGGGTACTGGGTTCGATTCCCGGTTCGAGGGTAAATTTTAATTTAATTTAAATTTGTTCTCGGCCCTTGGGAGGGTTGTGCGGTACCGGGCGAGTGCCTAAACTGTACATGGATGACACGGTCGAATTTCTAAAGACAAGCACGAATTATAAAAAATCCTATACTTGACGTTGGCGAATGCACAAATCGTGCCAGAGCCATAAAAAAAAAATATATGTGTATTATGGAACATAAGATACAGGTATCACTTATTCCACGTCATTAAATTTGAATCTGTAGGCATCCCTACTCATCGACAAAGAAGACAGAGGGTGTAGGCCGAGAGAAAAAGCCGGCGTAAAAAACTCTCGGTACTTTTTTAAAATAGCAAATCATCAACACTTATTTTAAAACAAATATCGCAAATTAATTAGAAGTTAATTAGCACTAGTCCCAGGCCCTTTTATAAACTAGATAATCGTTAACTTTATAGTAAGCAAGCAGTTTGGTGAGTAAGAAATTATAAACCCTTTTTTTATTCGCCCTGGATACTTTGGAAGTATATTTCTGTTGTCAAAACTAAGTTTTGGTACTGGCCGTTTCTTGTATAAGAACTAAATTCCAATATATTCGTTTTTATAAAAGTAGACTTGACCACACTTGTCTTTAGTTATTGTAGAAATCCAACGTCTTTTGTTATTTTGTTTCTCATTGATGTACCTTACTCTAGCTTAAAATTTATTTTTCCAAAATCTTTACATATTCAAGATTTTCTAATGCAGTTTTAGAACTGCTATAATGCAGATTGAAAATATTTTCTATAATTTTTTTTTTATTTACTATCATTAGATAAACGTTAATGTTTAATTTTTAATAATATTGTCGTAGTTATTGCAGTAACAATATTTTAATAAATTTTAAAACAATATTCTGTAATACAGACAATTCCTACAACGTGCATTATCACGAGCGAGGGACTGTCGCAAGAGTTTCTATCTGTACACGCAACAGAATGGTACTGGGGTGAGTTCTTCGTTTCTTATAAAATATTTGCTACTCTTTGATCTTTATAGACATTATATAGATGTTATAGGTTATCAATCTGACATCGATTTTTGGGCCTTTATATAGCGAAAGTAAACTGGCATGTTTACTTGTGTTAATTGCGCCGAAATAAAAATCCATGTCAGCATAGTAAGGGTTCGAACGCACGAAGTCAGGGTTAAGATTGGGCAGATTTAAATTTGTGTGCGCTAATATTATTAATTTAATCCGTTATCGTGTTAGCATCTTGTTCTCACTATAAATTAAGGGCGTAGTCGTCGCGATGTTTGCTACTGATATGTTTTTTTTATTGAATCCTAATCAATTCCATATGTGGGGCAGCCCGGGCAGGTATGGTTGCAGCTATTAAGACGCGTCGTGTAAAATAAAATAGTTGGCGATTAAAAGAAGTTGTGGTTATTTTGCCAGTTCTTATACCTTCTAGTCGAATTTATAGAAATTTGAGACATTTTTTAAATTATTAATGTGGACTATTAAACCTCACTTTTCAGAAGGAATGCTGTGAAGTAGTGATGTTCTGGCGGGTTCAAAGCGCACTGCGGACTACGGCGAATGCTTTAAGGCAACAAATTGGGAATCGGGAGGCTGGTCGACTGGACCGGGAACTGAGGGAGGTTCTGGACGAGGTAAGTTTTGGTACCTTTTAAACGAGATATTAGAGTCAAAAATAAGACCCACAGAGCCTTGGCAAGGAAGAAACGGTCCGTAGACTCGTCTAAAGGATGCTTTTAACAGAGCGCATGGTTTCTGAGGAGATGATAAATAATTTGAATAGCGCCTCAGTAATGAAGATTTGGCCGTTTATTATTTTGTACACCGTAAAATTGTAGATAGATTATTTTTGATTACCTACTAAGAAATGAATAAATAATAAATATCAATATTCTTGAAGCGCATTCATTTTATGTGACTGATACCCGTGTTTCATTCCTAACTCTATGGACATAGAACGGTCTACTATAAAGCCGACCAATCAGGGACAGCCTTCGGACAGTTAACAATTTTAAGATGGTAATTTGACGGTTTCACTTTGATAGATTACAATCTACCGGATAATAGTATGTTAAATTGTAAGCAGTACATAAAGGTTCACAATCTTTCGACAGTTCACAATCTCGCGAGATAGATTACAATCTAACGGTATTTACAATTTTACGTTGACATATAGAAATCATATCAAAGGAATATCACGATAAATTGGTGGGCTAACTTTAACGGGGTAGCAAAAATATGATAAAAGATCTTTCACTATAGTGGAGAGCTTTTTTTTAATAAAATGATTATTTCAGATGTCGTCTGATGCAGATATGAAGAAAAAACTACTCTCTGGTAGACGAGTTGAACTCGCTGAAGAATTGAGTGAGTGTTTTCAATCACGCAGCTTGAACGCGTGAATTTTTTGTATTGTGTGTTAATAGACCTGAATATAGCTTAAATATAGAGAAGGAGTCTTATAATTCACGCTAAAGAGAAAAAAGGAGAAAGAAATAGAGAGGAAAAATTTCATTGTTTGATTGCATTGAATAGACTCTAAAACCACAGGACCGATTTAAACATTATTTTACCATTAGAATCCTACGTTATAAAATTACGATAGTGTAATCCAAGGTGTGGTCCATCCAAGACTAGTAAAAATGTCTAAATCGCGTACACTGCGAAAACTATTGACAATAGAGCAAAGTGATGTTCTATAATTTTATGGAAGACATCCTTAAATTATCTACGAAAAAGTCTGCAATACCATATGTCTTAACTTAACTAAAAAAGGGTGCGTGTACTTATGTACGCGCGTAAGAAGTTATACTTCTTTGGCATTATTAAAAATAGTTTTTGATTGCATGCAAATAATTAATTACAATTAAATAATCAAAGACTGGAAAAGGAGTCATTAAAGTCAATAAAGTTCAGTTTACATTTGAAAAATTAATTAAATATTTATTATTATTCTCTTACATTAAACAAATAAAACACTATTTATCTTTAAAACATTTTTATTTCATTATACTATTTATTTTTAAGTGACTCTAATGTCTTCATCAGAATTTCGGTTTGTAATTTTAAATTAATCATTACTTGGTTGTGCATCTACGAGGCTTCTCCAAAACTACTTGCTTTTTGCAACAAATAAGAGAATATTAATTTAAGCTCTGTCCATGCAAAACTTAAAATTTTTTATAATTCATATTATAAATTTTTAACACATTTATATTAATATAATTATATAAATGTGTTAATAATATAATTTGTAGCACATGCTACAGACCTGGATAGCAACTTTCTTTTATTCTATTTAGAGATAGAGATAATTTAAATATAATACCGGTGTCTTCCTTGTAGGTTTCTTTGGAGTTGTTTGGGCATTCTTGTTGTTCAGTTCGACATGATTTTCTTTAACCTTTCTTTAATCCTACAAAATAATGAAATTGTTAAGTTATGTTGTCACTGTTGTGCACACCTTTGTTTGGCTTTTTTAGTATTCAAGTTATGTCAAAACTGATTTATTACCTTGTCATTGTTGGCTTTATTTGCTTTTGGGATATCAATTGTTTCCAAAATGATTTTATTTGTAATAACCTGAAATATATAAATAACATCTATTAATTTAAGTATCATGGTGAGTGGTTCGCACTCAGGTATTAAGGTGTATTATACCCACTGTCCATTATAAGTGGGAATGGGCTCACTTCTGGCAGGACAGAGTTTCGGTACTACAAGTGCAACATGGATGTTTTGAGGTATTACAATATCTCTAACTACCCTGTAGGGGAATAAAGTAATGTTGTAAGCATATGCCTATGCTTGAAAGGTTGAACCTTGAACATCACCATACATCATATTTATAATTAACATTCCTACCTCGACACCATCACAATCAAATTCATTGAAATCTACTTCAAACCATTGTGTCTCGAGAAGGTGATGGTGGCTTTGTTCCACCTCCAGTTTTTGATGTTTCACGGCGATAAGATGACAACTCTTTTTTTGTATTCAATTTAGTGCACTTCCACTGATTCATCAATTGTTTTTTGTCTCTTGTCCTTATATTTGCTAGATTAAATCTGATGTTTTGATTAAATAATGTGGTCATTTTTTTGAGATGCAGGTACTTATTAAAATGTTTACTTCTCTGTTATATCGCTCCAAGCCTTCATTTTCTCCTTATTAGTATTCGTGCTTAAATCTTTGTTCTCAATTATTGATATATAGGGTCGTAGAATATTTCTAAAAAGTTGCTGTAACAAACGCAATAAACAAAAGCAATGAATAATGGTTCATGTTTCAGTTTTAATCAACAATAATACTCGATAATACATACGGATAGTTAACCTCAATTGTATTGAAGCACTCAGGAAGGTTAGCACAGTTTTTTCACAAATATTTTATATTATTTCACAAATATTTTGTATAATGAAAATAACTAGGTATATAATTATTAATTTTAAACAATAATTAAAACTCCTATATTTGTTTAAAAGGTAAATGTCATTGTCAGATGTCAATTGTCATGGTCATTCAAAATTCTTGTTAAGCTGCTAAGCTAGAATATGCGTGAAGTTAGCTTCACGCATATTCTATTTCTTTTACTTGTAGTTTGTCTTATTCCCATCTCGCTCGCGCACGCTATATCACACTGCCAATTTTGTGTCATAGGTGCGCGCGCAATCGTAAAATTTCACTCTCATCAATTTTTCATAACGCGCCTAAAGAAGTACAACTAAAAAAGTTATTTTTGCCTTTAAAAGTCTATTTACCGAGAAAAGCTTTAAAACACCGATTTAATGCGGGTGGAACCGCCGGGCACAGCTAGTTATTACATGTTTTTACTACAAATTACTAATCAATGTTTTGATACATACATATTTACATTATAATGTACTTAAATATATGTTCAAATAATGATTTTCTTTACAGAACGCGTGCGACATGTTCAAGAGAAACTGGAGGAATTTATTGAAGCGTTAAACAAAGAGAAATAAGCGTAGATAGATATTAATTTATTTGAAACTGCATTTCATTGACTTCGAAACTATTAAACTTGTAAATAGGTCATGAATTTGCGTATTATATATATATAACTACCAAATAATACGCAGTCTTAGATATTGCATAACAGGAATTGTCGGCTTCAGAATTATTTCATAACAATATACTTAGTTTTAATCCAAAATATCACCTTACTTAAATACACCTTACAATAAATGAATTTCTATGTTTACACTAGATCTTATGAAATGTATACTTAATATTTTCTGTGATCATGTTTTTCCTATTAAACCTAGTCATTTTCCAGAATAAAATGTTTAATTCATGAAATGGGTTTAGAACCCTGCGGCCCTTCTAGTATTGCATAGTGTTATAAACAGGAAGTTATAGGTTTATTTCCGACGAAACAAAATTGTCGTTTTAAGTTTGGAAACTTACTCTTAACTCTGCTTTATAGACCAGTCAGTCAAGACAATTAATTCATAATAATTCCAAAAGTTTTCAAATTTTGATGTAAGGTCGGGAGTGGTATTAAAACAAACTATAAAATTTTGCAACCTGCTCTGCGGTCCGGAACATTGTTAAAAATGCAATAAATGATAATTTGCTTAGTTCTTGAGACCAAAATTCCAAGAGTTCTGCAAAGTTGGAGTGGTGTTAAATATATTATTTTACATCACGTGTCAAATTTGCAACCAATTTAAGTGTACGGAACATTATTTAATTAATGTTGTTCTTTATTAAACTGAAGGAAAACGTTCCAAAAGTTCTGCAAATTTGACAGATATATCGAAAATAAAATAAATAACAAAAAATGTTCCGTACACTTAGGTTGGTTGCAAATTTTATACGTGATATGAAATATTATATCGAAAACTTCCCCAAGTTTGCAGAACTTTTGGAATTTTTTTCACGACCATACAGACATAAAATTAATTTAATTGCAATTTTAACAATGTTCCGGACTGCGGACAAGGTTGCAAAATGAGATTTATTGTCGTTCCAATGTACCATTCACTTGACCGAAGTTTGAAAACTTTTGGAATTATTATCAAATTTTCGATTTCGAATGTCTATAATGACTGGCCTATTAGTCAGTTTATTGGTTATTTATTATATATGACACAGGTCAATGAAATGCAGGGTATTTCAAGTCGACTTAATGATAATTGATAAATAAATCTTACCTAGTTACAGATAGTGCGCCTGAGGCTGTGACGTCACTATTATCCTTGTAGTCCAGTACCCAGCCATTTATGAGTCGCATCGTGCTTTAGAAAGAGATACTCGGCTAGCTTCGGCTTCGTATAGCGCCGTCTCTGTCTCTTAATAGTTACCGGACTGTTAGTGTTTCGTGTGACAGAGATGACGCACTACAAAGCGAGTATCTCTTTCTAAAGCACGATGCGACTTATAAATGGCCTGGTACTGTCATAGTATTTCATACTAAATCTCATAAAACTTCGATTATAAAAATCAATAGAATTATTCAAAATTATTCATTCATTCCTTTCGAATTTATCTATGTATCTTTATGATCGGCTTCTCTTTTGTTATAGCTTATACTTAATTTGTTATATTTATTTCATTTTAATGTTTATGGCCATAGCGAAGGTAGCCATTTTCAAAACGTGTTACTTTCTAAATTGTTGTTACTGTTCATACAACTTGTATGTGCTTGCGAGCTTGCGTTGATTTTGTAATTGCTTAACATGAGTAAGAAGTTTTTAAACCACTATAAGGCTTTTTTAAACGATTTTTTTAAAGTCGACTTGAAAGCGTATCTCATAGTAAATATTGTGTAGTTTACTATAGAATGTATATAGGTTGCATATGTTTGTCAGCTGGCATGTATTGTTTTACTTACGACTCCATAAGTTATATTTTTAATAAAATGTTGCACAAAATTAAAAACATATTTTTATTTAGATTATCTTAAACAACATAATAATAAAATTACAGTTACACTGCAAACTTTCTACATATATTTTAGTTACGGCAAAACAAGTTAAATAACCAGAGTTAATAATAAATTAAAGCAAACAAATTACAACGTTCGAAAAAAGAAGCGAAATAAAATACATTATAATTTACAAAAAGTAATAACTATTAATGATGCTAATAAAAATAAAAATTGTTTGAATCAGCAAAGTTGTCATGACTTAAGAAACATTTTACTTCCTGATATTTACATGACCGCAATGTTTCTGTTATATCCTTGGCATTAGTCCAAGAAGTTTTGTATTCTCTATAAAGGCTCTCAGCGATCAAATAGGCTTCCAATTTATCTATTTTCAAAATACCTCTTGTCACTGTGGCTATGAAATTTAACCGACTTTCTTTATATGGAATATATTCTGAAAGGAAATATTTGAGCCCTTCCCTGTATATCTCTATAATGGAGAAGAAATATTCGCTGACTAAATCTACGATTCTATTTCCAACATGTTCTCCGAATTTGGTTCCAACTATGTGCATAACCTCAGTTTTATCATCACCTTCAAAGCAGTGGGGATTTTGTTTTAATGCAGATTTTATTGCGCTGCAGTACAATTGTGTAAAATTTATTTTCATATATTGGTAGAAGTATTCATTTAGTGCCATGAAGGAACTTAACCTTGATGTAATTTTAGTAAAAACAAGTTCACAGGAAACATATTGTGTATCTTTAAAGGCTTGAGTGCATTTTAACGATTTTAAAAAGTCGTCCAAACAATTAACTATGTACGATTTATCTTCCATATCTTTCCAAAGTTTTTCAATGTGATCAAAGAACGGTATTAAAGTATTTTTTATAATTTCGCATTGTTCTTCACTACTTGTAGCAAAAAGTAAGTACTTTGCAATTATTCTCATGTACAAACACATACAGTTATTGTTTATAACATCTGATGGTTTGTCAATCTCAATATCACGCTTATATAAATTGTCATAGTTGGTTAGATTTTCAACAGTTATATCGTTTTGAATAAAGTCGGTAACAATTTTGGTTACTACATCTTTATCAACTTGGTGTAACATTTTTTCTACATTGCATAGAGCACGCATAGCTTTCTTTCGTTTAACACGCATAAGTGCCTGATAAACTGTGGCCCAGTAATCAGCTTCAATGTTTTTTGGAATTTGGATTTTGTATTTTAAGTGTTTTAGAACGTTTCGCGGCAATTTGTCATAGTCAAATCTCATTATTATTTCCTTTACTATTTTCCACATTTCAGGTGGCATAGTAAGTGATGCATTAAAGTAGTATGACACAGCTACTTTAATCACAATCTTAGGCCTTCTAACTACTACAAAACTAAATGTTTCTACTTCAAAAGCTGTATTCAACGCAAGTCTTAATGCTAACGGAAAAGTTTCACGTCGCTGGAGACATGACTTTATATTGTCCTCCAATGAACAAGTTTTACTGATTAGAATATTGTTTCCCACAGCTTTTAAACCAAGTATCTGCCAGTCAACTTTATCAATGTTAATATGTGGCTTGCATGTATGAATGTTATTTTGAAAACCAGAAGCGAGTTTCCGATCTGCCTTAGTTTTATTTTTTCTTAATTCGTCTATTTTTTTTATTATACTTTCAGTGCTAGACAACATCGCTATGGGGCGGACCAAACTTGATTTTGGTGCAATGTTTAAAGCATTGATTAAAGCCGCGAGATGTTGATCAGCAAGACCAGCTGCTTCTCCAAAATAAATTTTAAGTGTTCGTAAGAAACGATCATGATTTGTGTTCTCTTTTACGGCTAATGAAGCAAAGATTACGCCATCACCTAATAATGAAGGATCATGGCGTAAAGCATTAATGTATGATGCTTCGAATTGTTTAATTGGAAAGGTATCTGCAATAAGTTGCCTTCTTGCTATTCTTTTGTCAAACAAAGAATTTATTAAATCCTCATTACCAATAGCTGACTTTGCCAAATTGTCTTCAAGATTAGTAATATCTTTAATTTTATATGTTGAGACTACATCCACAAACTCTTTTGGCCGTTCTTGAAGTAGAGTTGGCAAATGTTTTTTCACTTCCATTACTTCAGATCCTTTTAAACCAAAGTCTTTGAAAGTTGTGAAGTGATTGAAGTAAGCTTTCATTAGGTCATCTGTTGGTGTGGTTCCATTTAAAACACTTCGAAGTATAACAGCATGCAATCCTTCAATGCACAATGGATTACCATCATGGCCATCTAGTCCCAGCCCATGTGCAAATGTGAGCATGAGACTCCAAGTATCTTCTGGCATTCTCCAAAACTTAAGCCTTTTTATAAGAGACCTTACAACTGTAGCTCGAAGATTACTGGGTTCATTTTTATGCTTCTCAGTCAGCAATTTCATTAGTGTCTCTACATGTTCAAAAACTCCACCACTCTTGCTGATAAGAACAAGTAAAATATTCTGTCTACCTTCAATGGTACTTTCAGCTTGCAATCGATTTTTAAGCTCAGCATAAGTCTTTGAGAATCCTGTAAATCTATATTTATCAAACAGCTGATCAAGCAGTGTTTTGTTCTTCACAACACTATGATCCATGAACATAGAACAATTACGAGAAAATTTCTTTCTAACCAGCATACTTCCCATTCGAGGGCACGGGCGTACTTTATCCTCATAGCAATAATATTGAAAATCATTGTATTCTTCATCATCAAATATATGGTCAGTAATGTTAATGAAATTTGGACATTCTGGTTTTCTGTAAGGCCATTCCTTGACTTTTTCGCCAACAGCTTTATCAGTAAATATCAGTTTCTTAAAACAAGTTCTTTCTTCGAGAGATAGTCTTTTAATTAATGGTTCAACAGATTTATAAGAAAACCAATCCTGTAAATATTCCGCCTTAGCAAGCTGAAATACTAGATCTTTACATTCATTTGGTGTTAAACATGTAGCTATAGTTTTAACATCCAGAATTTGTGATGTATACAATTCTTGTTTAGCTATAAATTTATATTTAAATTGTTTTACAATATATTTAGTTGCAGTTGGACTTAGACGACCCTGAGTATAATAGGATTCAATTAGTTCTAAATATAAATTTCCATCTAATTTAAGAATACATTTAAAACTCTCAAAGTATTTAGATTCACGCTCTCTATATTTCATTATAGCATTGTTATTTTTAAGCAAACATTCAAAATAAGCTTTAGCAACAGATGGACAGATTTGACAGAGCATTTTTAAATGCTTTGGTGTCAACTTTTCAATAATATTCACTACTTCATTTAAAATGAATAGTGAAGAACAATTTATAAGGTATTTGATTGATTCTTCAAAATCATTTTTATAGTATGTATAAAATTCTTCACATCTTTGAGGATCTTTCAAGTTTGCTTTTATCCAATGCTTCATTTTATTTACTCCTGGTTTGCTCATTTCTGGGAATAGATTAGCTTCTAAGTAGACTGGATTAATTATGTAAGAGTACTCAAAATTTAGTAACCAGTGAGATTTTAAAGCTCTGCTAACATAAAGCATGTCATAATTTCTTAAAGTTTTTAATATATATGCAACATGTTTATGTTGATTGGCAACATCAATTTTTAATATGTTATCAATAGGGGTAGTTATGGGTAAACTCTCAAAGTTTTTATTTTTATAACAATACTCCTTAACTAGATGATTAAAGTATTGGTGCCTTTCACCCAAACTATTTCCTTTTAAGATTATAGTTGCATCCATCTGAAAAAAAGAAAGAAATCACCAAGTGAGAATCGGAAACTAACCCATATACACCAAGTGTACAAGCAACAAGAAAGTCGTGTACTTACGATGATCAAAAATATTTCCAAAAAATCCAAAACCACTAAAGATACCAAGGCAATCGCCAATACTTCTTCTGTCTTCTACTACAAAGTATATACTTTTTCAGTGATATCTTTAATTCAATCCTTGCACAGTTATGAACTCAGCGCTTTCACCGCCATATCTATCAGTTATCACCTAGAAGTAGATTTAGCGGAATTTTGGATCCGTCAGCGCTTTAAATAACTTATAAACAACTATCAATTTATTTGGATTTTGTCCATTTGCACTCTTTATCTGTAGTTAGTAAACCCAATTTTATATGTGGTTTTTAAACCGTCATAAATTCGAAAGCCAAAGTATAAACAAGTTCCTATCATTTAACATTTTATTTACATTGAAAACGTGCCAAAAAGATGTGGCCGGTGGCGCTTCTGGGTCTCTACTTTCTTCCTTCAGCGGTCAGGCCGCAGGCGTCAGCCCAATTTTTTAATAATAGGGAATGTAATGTGTTAATAAAAAATATTATCCATCGCCATTCACAAGTCTGTGGTCTCTTCTGTTTACAGTAAATCACAAATGTCAAATGTATCAACTATCAGACATCAGTAATCAATGGTAAAATTTAACAATAATTTACATGACGAATTTAATTTAAAAGTAGAATCCAATAATACCTTTTCTGATTGTAATTTAAATAATATCAAATAAATCTATATACCTAGATTTTACATGTTATATATAAAAACTAAGCTCGTATGGCGTTTAAAATACATGAACAGTAGAGGTTTAAATTCTTGAACGAAACTTGAGGAAGCCCGCGTAAATAATTTGTCTGCTTTTTAAAATGGTTAAAGCCAATGTAAGTTCAATTTTATCAAATATATTAAATAAAAAAAGATACAGTCATTGTCGTTTATGCTTAGGAAATATTGAAGAAACCTATATTCGTATGGATGACTCTGTTTCATTAAATGCAAGCAGGGAAAATTATCAAACACTTAGTAGTGTGCTTATTAAACTTTTGGGTGAAGAGGTAAGTTGTTACAACAAAATCTTGTTAGCTTTATCATGTTGCTTATAAATATTTAAGTATTACAATTAAGAGCATCTCATTAATATGCTTTTCCTAAAATTAAATTTTTATCTTTAATTTTAGTTTGGTCACCAAATTCCCGGAGTAGATGCTGTCTGTCTTAAATGTGTGGACAGTGTTCTTGCAGCAATGCGCTTTATAGAAAATTGCAAAAGCTCTGATGAAACTTTAAAATGTGCTGTAGATAGTGTATCCAAAGCCTTGGAGTCAAATACATATAATATAAAGGCTGGAGAAAAACTGTTTGTAAATCTTAATAACACAGAAACTGAACTATTTGTTATGAACAGGTCTATTAAAAAAAGAAAAGAAACATATAAGAGAACCTATGAGTGTTATGAATGTCTAATTTATCTTGACACATTCCATGATCTCAAAGTGCATAATCTTGCATACCACGGATCTGTCACCTGTAATAAATGTAACAAGAAATTTTTAAATTATGAAACTTTCTCAAACCATGAAAAAAACGATCATAAATTTATATGTCCTGAATGTCCTCATATTAAAAATAGTGAAGAAGACTTAAAGAATCACCATAACCAATGTCATGCTATTCATATATGTCAAGAATGTGGAAAGCATTGCAAAGGTTTGAATAAATTAATTTCTCATGAAGATAAGCATAAAACAAAATATTCTTGTCCTAAATGCGGTAAGAAATACACAACAAAAGATTTTTATAAGCGTCATGTTAAATTGTGTCTTAGTGATAAAATAGATCCACATCCTCATCGTAATATGATGAAAAGACCTTATAATTGTGAAAAGTGTGCTAAGGGTTACAGTACAAGAGGTGGTCTTAGAGTTCATAATAGGTTTGCACATGGCAATGCTAAACCTCATGTATGTAAAGAATGTGGTAAAAAATTTACTGCGCCAAGCTATTTGAGAGTGCATATGGTTAAACATACTGGAGAAAGAAACTTCAAATGCACTATCTGTGAAAATAGATTTGTATCTAAAGAAGCCTTATTATACCATACAAGGCGACATACTGGTGAAAAACCTTACAGTTGTAACCAGTGTGATGAGAGATTTGTAAATGCTTCAGCAAGAGCTGAGCATATAAAATTTAAGCATGTAGGACCAACACTAGAATGTGACATATGTACAAAAAAATTTGTTACACGCCACTTTCTAAAACAACATATTGGCAGACATCATGACCCCACCAGTAAAGTTTATTATGGAAGAAGTGCAGTCCCACCTAATATACCATCAGAGAAAAATATGAGAAAATGTATAATTCAAATGGAAACTTAATGCACATACACAAGGAAATTAAACTCACTTTGTATTAGTTTTTTTTGTCATAAATTATCATGTAACTTATTTATGGCTAATTATTAGTTCTTTTTTTTAGGTATTTATTATTTATCTGTTTAGATCTATATTTCTAGCAATTTAAATTATCATAAATTAAATATAAAAATACATTGACTGTTTCAATAATATATTGTCAACCAAGTCTTGTCAACTTAAAAAGTATTGTCTCTTAACAAGTATTGTCAACTAAGGGACCAACTTATCATCGCCACGAAATGTAGACAATAGAACAGAAGAAAGAAAGAAGACATATTAACAATAAACCGTGTTTTGTTAATTTCCGACTTCGAAAAGCAAAATGTTTATTTCACTATAATGGTCGTAATTTAATATACTTACCTAATTATAGAAAATGTGAAAAGTAGTTAGGTATATTGGTTTCATGCCTATACATTACATTCATTAAATAAAATTAGAAATAGGTTCTCGTATGGAAAACTAAAATATAATCCTTGGTCGAATTTGAAATCAAACGCGAGTACGTGAACTATTAGTAAATTTAAAATTAGGCCTATTGTAATTGTATGATAATAATGATTTAATATTATTAATAACTACTATGTATTAAATACTGATAGTATTTAATAGTAGTTATCACATTTCAATCTCTATATATATAAAATTCTCGTGTCACAATGTTCGTTCCCATACTCCTCCGAAACGGCTCGACCGATTCTTATGAAATTTTTTATACATATTAAGTAAGTCTGAGAATCGGCTACTCTCTATCTTTCTAGCCCCTAAGTCATAAGCGGTGTCCACCCCAAAAAAAAAATGTTTGAAGTGAAAACTTCTTTAGCGGCGTTGTACACTTTTTTTGGAATGGGTAAAAAATCTTAAACTCGCGTCAGAACAAATTCGTAAGACGGATGTTTTTTTAAAAGGATTATGAACCTTCGTGCTATATAGTTACGGTTTTAATTCATTTGTCTCTTTCCTCAGATACATTGATGCATGTGGAATTGGACCTTAAGTCAATACATCAAGGTTTAATTTTGCGAAACGTCTAAAGCTTTATCATTAACGATTTGGTCAGACTGACGCGAATAAAAAATAGTGAATTTTCCTAATTGAATTATTTAATACTAATTTTAATTTTTTTGCGTAGGTATCGTAAGACGGATGAAGAGTAGACAGCTGGCGCGGCGTATTTAATGTAATATAAATTGTCATGTTTAACCCTTCCTTCTAACCATTCCAAAATATCAAAAATGCACAAAGTTAATATTCAAGTTTTTACTTCTGCCGGCACTCCCGGAGTGCAACCCGTCGTTTTTTTAGACAATTTTTTGACGTGACAACGTCTTATAATTCGATGGAGCCGGCTGCACGCACGAAAAAACATGACTCATGCGGCGTTACCTCGCTCTGAGGCGTTACCTCGCTCTGAGGCGTTACCTCTCTCTGAGGCGTTACCTCGCTCTGAGGCGTTACATTTAAAATTGACATAATTGTATTTATGCGTACAAATAAATGTAACTTGATCAATTCAATTGTGATTTCCATTTACCTCCTTCTCTATATCCATACAAAATACCTATCAAACAAATAAAATTTAATATTTTTTTTTGAAAAATGCAACCATCCCATCAATATTTTTGTATGACGTTGTCACGTTCAACTATCGTCAGTAAACCGACTTTACAGACAACCGATTTTTTTTGTTTTTATTTTTTTATGTTACAGCATACAAAAATACATACAACCCCTAATTTTCACCCCTCTACAATCAACCCCTATTTTTTATTAGTAGGTAGTTATTTTTATTGAACTTAACCAAATTTTCCTACAAATAATATACATAGCAAAACAACGTTAGCCGGATCAGCTAGTATCTATATAAAATATATTCGTAACCTATATTAAAAATAAAAAAAAATCCCTGAACAATAATATTATGAAACTATAAGTTTAAGTTATGGTAATATGACGATCGTTACTAATACTATTCAAATTCTGAAACTAATTAGCTCCACGTTAAACGTTTGGGTTTAGTCAAGTAGTACACTACTGTTAAGGCATCGTGACTAAACCCCCTGGATAAAATGTTGTATATTATAAAACCTACAAAGTAATACGTGTAAAAAATACAATATTTGCAGCTTTGCCATTGCTTGACACAGACTAGGAACACTGTGTAATGCTTATTTGCCACTATTTTTCCAATAATCAATGTCATCTTACCTTTTAATAATTGTTTGTGTGACCTGACGTTTGAGCAGGTGACATCGTGATGAAATTTTAAAGAATCCTTCTATTTTTCTAAAAGACTTGTAAACTATACTGTCCAACTAACTAAACATACTTTAACATAGCTGCAACTTTTATAGGGTCCTTATTTTTTATGAACTGTGGATTATATCGCCCACCTTCAATAGGTTTTTTTATTTTATTTTAAAAACAAATTATTCACGACTAACAATTGATGCTGATTGCTGATGATTTAATATAAACTACAATTTAAATTGTAATGTACTTTTTCTTACCAAATGTTCTAAACTAATCCTGTGCTAAGTCGCTGTTGGCTCATAACGATTATGTAGCCTCATTATAGACCTTATTTTCTTGTTGAATGATCAACAGAGATATATTAGAATGTAAAAAACTATAAACCAAAATATTGTACACTTAACGCGATGAAACGAAAAGATAAACGGTTGTGTAATTGATCTAGAAATGCTGTTAACCAATCACAACTAAGCGAAGTGGCGAAGGCCATTGTATCCAATAGTATTAGCATGATAAATCTCGTGTAGTGCACGCAAATAATAAAAATAAATAAATAACACATTTATTTGTTTTGTCGACATACAAAATTAGGCGTAGGTATGAATAGCATATCTATTATTGATTTTTGTCACCTCACCAGTACCACTTTGAATCAAAACCAACTAAACGCTTATTTGCCACTATTTTGCCAATTACCTTGCTGAAAACGTAGCCACCATCACTAACCGCTTGAAAAACTTTGTCAGAATATGCTGAGGCTGGGAAAACAATATTCATGTTTACTCATTTCAATTATTTGGATATAACAATGTGGACTTCATGAAAATAATTATGACACGTACCAATTGTTGTATTATCAAACATATTTACAGTATAAGAAATTGGTTCCAAATTAGTGAATTCGCATTGCTAGAATTAAAAATTAAGGTATAAGTTATAAGTTAATAAGGCTAATCCGACTGATAAAGCCTTCTACGTGGGTGGTAAATAGTGCATTGTGCGCAGTCCTGCGCATATCTATCATATGGAAAAGACATTGAGACTTTTTTGGTTTCTATTAATATTATTATTTTATCAGTAAAAAAACTAACTATTAAAAGAAAAAAATAGAAAATTAGAAACATCACACTAAAATTAAAGTAAATTTTTCTATAATGTTTTAATTAAACTAAGAAAATAGAAAGACTAAATTTATATAGGAAATAACACAATGCATTGAATTATTTTGTCAGACTCTAATCAATGGACCACACCAATCACCAAAGAGTACCTATATATTTAGTGTGAATAAAAGACTTAGACCCAAGAAAATAGAGGACTGGATTAAGTACCTACAATATTTATATTGAAACATGTATCTATATGATGATTAAATTACATTGCATGCCTTCTGTTATTTTTTTCAAATGATACCTTTTTATTTAGATTACAAAATTGTTTTATAGTCAATTAGACCGTAGATTCTTCTGCATCTTCTCTTTGGGTGCCGCAGCGCTCACTGTTATTTTAATAATGTAGTTAACAATTTATAAAGTTGCATAAGATATCATATTAAAACACCTACTAGGCTAAGTTTTTATTTACCATTTTCCTCACCAAAGCCTCTAACCATTTTTAATATATAAATCATATAAACCTTCAACATTTTATTTATTTTCATGGACCACAACTCAATTCCATAAAACTCGTTACATACCATGGAGGATCTCGCTCGTATATACCTAACATCCACAGTTTTTACCGTTAGGTAGCATTAACTTAAATGTATTCGTCTCTTTCGTCATACGTGATTGTACTGTAGAAGAAAAGAGACTCATATATATTTGACGCTATGTACCATAACCACAATACACAATTATTGTACATGTTGACAAAGTCTTCTAAATATTTCCTTGTTCTATGACATAATTACACATACTATATATATAGATACGAGTCTGTCTTTTGTCAGCAGTCAGCACTCAGCAAGACCCAGTCACACTCTGATTTATGAGTAGCAATGACTCAATCTTTTTTTTGAGGGCCTCGCTTGTCGTTACCAAATTTATGTATGTCGAAAAGTTTTCATACAAATTTAGTTTTCGACTTTCTACATACACTACTGTTAAGGCATCTTGACTAAGGCACCTGTTGTAGTAGGTTTACGCAAGCTATCGATCTAATCTATGTTTGATTGCTGTGTCTGAATATAGGCCTTCGATCGATAGTTTTCTTAAATCTACTGCAATGCAAGAGATACAACTGTTTGAAATTGTTAATTGTGTCATAAAAATAAATAAAATATGCATAATGCTGGATAAAATTCAATCTGATTCTATGTCTCTAGCAGGCTGTTTTTCGTTAACTTCTTTCTCTGCGACTTTTACGGGATAAGTAATAATCCACCACCATCCACCATACTTTATCATCTGTTTTCGTTGTCGTAGAAAAAATTGGCAATTGACTATCTCAATGGTCAACTGTCAAATCAAATTTAAAAACAAAAGTAAAATTAAATCTTAAATCAAAATGGCTGAAACTCGTTGGAGTATGTTAGACGTTCCGTAAATAAAACTTTATTATTTTTTTTATACGCCTAGTGAATTGTCCAACTACTGTATTCTCATATAAATTGTTGTGTACGCGTACATGGTTTGTGAAATTAAGTGCTAATCTTGTGTTATTTACATCTCAGAAGTTTTGTGTGTTTTGTGTCTTGTTTTCGTGGA